TGGCTCTCATTCGCCAGTCCAGATATGAGGTGGGGCCGCGGTATTCACGGCATGGAATGTAAAGTAGGCATCCCTGCAGTACTATATAAAACTGAAGCATTGGATGGCACTTGACCTGGGAAAACCACTTGTCTTGACTTCAGATCGGCATGGTTTTATTTGAGGTGAAAGAACGTCGTAATCCTGTTACGAATGGAAACATGGCAGTGGAAAGACACTTTGTCTGCTCAGGGAAGGAGTTTCATGGAGACCATCAAACGTAGTATGTAGCCCATATCATTCAGTGGGTTAGACAGGCTGTAACACAGAGAGACACCACCACACCTCACCACACCCCACTCTCTCTCTGTGAGCATCTCATTAAAATTCCAACATAAGGCCTTTGGTATACATAGAGCTGGGCGATATGGAAAAAAATCCATATCTCGATAAATTGCTTGAATTGATGCGATAATGATTTATAACATTAAAGTGCACCACAGTTTTTTACAATTATCCTTTAAACTACTACAACTAGTTTGATGGTTGTAGCCATCAACTGTCCCATTAACAATCACCCATATTAGAAACTTATTTCATTTCAAACTTTCTCTAGCATAGAATACTTATTGTATTGAACGATATCAGCAAAATGCCTACGATAAGTGATCAGTATGATCGGTGTCATCAAGGCAAAGGGTGGCTATTTGAAGAATCTCAAATATATTTTGATTTGTTTAACACTTCTTTGGTTACTACATGATTCCATATGTGTAATTTCATAGTTTTGATGTCTTCACTATTGTTCTACAACGTAGAAAATAGTAAAAATAAAGAAAAACCCTGGAATGAGTAGGTGTGTCCAAACTTTTGACTGGTACTATATATAGTATTGTATACAAATGTACTTGATACATAACTGTACATACATTCATTGGTACAGTATACATGAATTCAAATCACACTCTTATTGGGTTAAACACACAAAAAGCACACACACACTGTACATAGATTCATATACAGTGGGGGAAAAACTTACTTGACTCTCTTTATATCTACTTGAAATAGTGGAAATGTGTTGTTTGGGAATAGATATATACAGTGGGGGAAAATAGAATTTAGTCAGCCACCCATTGTGCAAGTTCTCCCACTTAAAAAGATGAGAGAGGCCTGTAATTTTCATCATAGGTACACGTCAACTATGACAGACAAAATGAGAAAAGAAAATCCAGAAAATCACATTGTAGGATTTTTTATGAATTTATTTGCAAATTATGGTGGAAAATAAGTATTTGGTCAATAACAAAAGTTTCTCAATACTTTGTTATATAGCCTTTGTTGGCAATGACACAGGTCAAACGTTTTCTGTAAGTCTTCACAAGGTTTTCACACACTGTTTCTGGTATTTTGGCCCATTCCTCCATGCAGATCTCCTCTAGAGCAGTGATGTTTTGGGGCTGTCGCTGGGCAACATGGACTTTCAACTCCCTCCAAAGATTTTCTATGGGGTTGAGATCTGGAGACTGGCTAGGCCACTCCAGGACCTTGAAATGCTTCTTACGAAGCCACTCCTTCGTTGCCCGGGCGGTGTGTTTGGGATCATTGTCATGCTGAAAGACCCAGCCACGTTTCATCTTCAATGCCCTTGCTGATGGAAGGAGGTTTTCACTCAAAATCTCACGATACATGGCCCCATTCATTCTTTCCTTTACACGGATCAGTCGTCCTGGTCCCTTTGCAGAAAAACAGCCCCAAAGCATGATGTTTCCACCCCCATGCTTCACAGTAGGTATGGTGTTCTTTTGATGCAACTCAGCATTCTTTGTCCTCCAAACACGACGAGTTGAGTTTTTACCAAAAAGTTATATTTTGGTTTCATCTGACCATATGACATTCTCCCAATCCTCTTCTGGATCATCCAAATGCACTCTAGCAAACTTCAGACGGGCCTGGACATGTACTGGCTTAAGCAGGGGGACACGTCTGGCACTGCAGGATTTGAGTCCCTGGCGGCGTAGTGTGTTACTGATGGTAGGCTTTGTTACTTTGGTCCCAGCTCTCTGCAGGTCATTCACTAGGTCCCCCCGTGTGGTTCTGGGATTTTTGCTCACCGTTCTTGTGATCATTTTGACCCCACGGGGTGAGATCGAGGGAGATTATCAGTGTTCTTGTATGTCTTCCATTTCCTAATAATTGCTCCCACAGTTGATTTCTTCAAACCAAGCTGCTTACCTATTGCAGATTCAGTCTTCCCAGCCTGGTGCAGGTCTACAATTTTGTTTCTGGTGTCCTTTGACAGCTCTTTGGTCTTGGCCATAGTGGAGTTTGGAGTGTGACTGTTTGAGGTTGTGGACAGGTGTCTTTTATACTGATAACAAGTTCAAACCGGTGCCATTAATACAGGTAACGAGTGGAGGACAGAGGAGCCTCTTAAAGAAGAAGTTACAGGTCTGTGAGAGCCAGAAATCTTGCTTGTTTGTAGGTGACCAAATACTTATTTTCCACCATAATTTGCAAATAAATTCATTAAAAATCCTACAATGTGATTTTCTGGAATTTTTTTCTCAATTTGTCTGTAATAGTTGACGTGTACCTATGATTAAAATTACAGGCCTCTCTCATCTTTTTAAGTGGGAGAACTTGCACAATTGGTGGCTGACTAAATACTTTTTTTCCCCCACTGTATCACATGAATATTGCAGTGTTGTGCCAAGTCCATTCCCAAACAACACATTTTCACTATTTCAAGTAGATATAAAGAGAGTCAAGTATTGCTACACATTTGAAAATTCCAACCCTGACGATGTTTTGCTTCTTCTTCTCGGATTGATGTCTGCTCAGAGAGATGGGTCCCGATTCTCCACCCTAGTGTGCACTTGCACAATACGGTAGAAAGGTGGAGAATCTGGACACAGACCTTAGTAAGGTAGATAAAGCCTGGTCAGACAGGAAACAGGAAGTTTCAAAATGTCAAGTCATCCCCCGCTGACTGTGGAGGTCAGAAGAAATCCTGAGGACCCAGGTGAATTATAATAGGAGTGGCAATTGTCTGTGGCTGGTAAAAGGCACTGTCAATGTACAAACCACCTAGACAGACAGACAGACAGACAGACAGAGAAGGGGAGGGAGCAGAGAGACCGTGGTTACAACCATGGCCTGTAGGAAGCAGTTACACACTAGACATGAGGCCATTTTTGGTCATGATAATGTGGTGTGATTCTGGAGTGATTTGCTGTGTTGGATTAGGTGAAGAATGGGAGAGGATTGCGGTGGAGATAAAGTGGTGACATGGGTCTCGCTGTGAATTTCAGAATGTTAGGCAGGTCACAAAGTACTGGTGCTCAACTGGTGAATATATATATATATATATTTTTTGTGTATATTTTACATTTACATTTTATCTCAAAATAAGTCTCAAACAACTCAAGTAATCAATTAAATGTATAGATTAGGAACAAAATACGTATTAATAACAAAAATGTATGGACAACCAATATCCAACAAACAAGATAGATTTTACAGTGCATTCATTCAAGTATTTTTGTACCCTTCAAAATATAACATAATTCCAAAGAAAAAACAAACTAACAAAATATTAAATCAAAACAATCCTATCGTATTTTTTTTAAGTTTCTCTGTCTAAGTTGTACACATAGGGGTGAAAAGCTGTCCTAAATCGTGTAGTAGTGGTGGGAGACAGTGAAGACTGTGGACAATTGTAGAACAGGGAACATTACTGAGGGCATTCTTGAGCAAAAACCTACAAAGAAAATAAAACAAACGTAGTCTATCCATTCAAATTAAACTTAGAACATAGTCTAGCCCTGTGTATCCGCCAAGTGGGCTGTATCGCTAAAGAGAAAAAATGGAAAGGTGCGGATTAAATGTGGATCTCACATTTGACTGTTCTGTGTCTGACCACCCTCATTAAGAAATCAGGAAACCAGAAAATGGAAAGGTGAGCTGGAACAACAAGCACATGCATGACACTGTCTAGTAGCTGCTGGCCCCTGCTTACCATAGGCAGGGAAGGGAGCTGCAGGACCATAGCCATATGGAGCTCCATAGTCTGAAAACAGAGGTCAAAGAACTTGGGTTACAGGAGCATTATTTATACACTGAGTATACCAAACATTAGGAACATCTTCCTAATACTCCAGATGCATGACCTCCCAGTAATTTATTGGGTAAAAAACCACCAACGTTTCGGCATTACTGTGCCTTGTGAAGAAGGCACAGTAATGCCGAAACGTTGGTGGTTTTTTACCCCATAGATTAATGGGAGGTTATACATATGGAGTGTGTGACTCTTTGTTTTTATAGCTTACAGTTTATTCACCGTTAGTCAGCACCTCTACATACACTAAATAATTTTCTCTGAGAGTGTGCCAGCTCATGCTTTTATTAGACATTCTTGATACACACAGGAAACTGTTCAGTGTGAAAAACCAAGCAGCGTTGCAGTTCTTGACACACACCGGTGCGCCTGGCACCTACTACCATACCCCGTTCAAAGGCACTTAAATATTTTGTCTTGTTCATTCACCCTCAAAATGGCACATACACAATCCATGTCTCAAGGCTTAAAAGTCCTTCTATAACCAGTCTCCTCCACTTCATCTACACTGATTGAAGTGGATTTAACAAGGTGACATCAATAACGTCATAGCTTTCAACTGGATTCACCTGGTCAGTCTGTCATGGAAAGAGCAGATGTTCTTAATGTTTTGTATACTCAGTGTATAGCGACAACCTAACAGACACCAGGATTGGAGTCAATTCCATTTAAATTCCAGTCAATTCAGAAAGTAAAACAAATTCCAAAAAAATCTAAATGTTCCCAATTTAAAAGCACTGAAGAGAATTGGAATTCCAGTGTTCTTCCTGTATTGACTGGAATTTAAATGGAATTGACCCCAACCCTGACGGACCACGCACTTACACACCAAGCCCCTGGTCTTACCTAGTGGGAGGTACCCATGGGTAGGAGGAGCGCTGATGTAGGGTGCTCTGTGCATCACTGGCCTGCTTCTAGGCCTGCTGTGGGCATGGACTGGGATAGACACGGTTGACGACACAGTTCTCGTCACCTGCAAACACACACATTCATTACGGTTATGGCATCACCTTTCCACACATTTCTTTACATTCGGACGTATGCTGCAGGACTAATATGCTAATATGAATTATATGGATGTGCTGACTGATGTTTTTCCACTCACCGGTGTGGTGGGCCTCCTTTTCTTGTTGCGGGGGTCTTTTGAATCAGAGAAGAGTCTCTTCAAAGCAGCGAGGGCGGCACTAGCCTTTGCTGCTTTCTTATTGGGCCCAGAGCCTCGGAACTTCTGTTTATCAACTTCCACCTACAGTACACACCACATACTGTCAATCATTCAGAACTACATTAGGGCCATTTCACTGCCCAGTGAAATAGCAGGGCTCTAGATTAGTTTTTCCTGTCAGATGAAAATAATGTAAAGTAAAAAGTCAAGCAAGTGCTAGGCTGTCGTGTGTGCGTGTGGATAAAGACCTCTATGATGAAGCGTTTGTCATAGCTGCCGCCAGTCTCTGATATGAGTTGGTACTTCAGGCCTCTGCGTTTCTCGTTCAGCTCCATCACTGGGTTCTTGCCCCCTGCCGTGAGGAGAGGGCCGGGGATGCGGGCCTAGGGACAATAATAGGGGGGAAATCACTACCTCTGTATAGTTCAACTGAGCACTGTTGTTAGAGATGAGTCCAGTCGGTGAACCACACAAAACATTCATTAGGGATGTACACCAATCTAACATATAAGCAATCACAATGAAAGTCAACAGACAATCTGGACCTGAATACTGAGTTTTCAAATTCTGCTATGATATAGAACAAGTAGTCATGTTAGTGTGACGGTTGTGTGGTTACCTCGTGTTGTTAGTGTGACGGTTGTGTGGTTACCTCGTGTTGTTAGTATGACGGTTGTGTGGTTACCTCGTGTTGTTAGTGTACGTTGTTAGTGTGACGGTTGTGTGGTTACCTCGTGTTGTTAGTGTGACGGTTGTGTGGTTACCTCGTGTTGTTAGTGTGACGGTTGTGTGGTTACCTTGTGTTGTTAGTGTGACGGTTGTGTGGTTACCTTGTGTTGTTAGTGTGACGGTTGTGTGGTTACCTTGTGTTGTTATTGTGACGGTTGTGTGGTTACCTCGTGTTGTTAGTGTGACGGTTGTGTGGTTACCTTGTGTTGTTAGTGTGGCGGTTGTGTGGTTACCTTGTGTTGTTAGTGTGACGGTTGTGTGGTTACCTCGCATGTGTCTGTGGAGGAGCTGACAGAGTTGCTTCTGGAGCTGGTGGACATTCTGTCGTTTCTCTCACTTATGTGGTTGCGTCCCTCGCCGTCAGACCTCTCGTCAGCACTCAGGGAGTCCAGGTCCACATCGAAGCCAGCTGGGTAACCAAGAGCCTGTAGGACCTGGAGAACATCAGCAAGAGGACCATAAAGGGGTGGTCAAATAATATGCACTGTAAGATCTAGAGGAGCAGCACTTGCTATCATGGTAGAGCGCACACAACAGTTTTGTCATATCTGCCATGAGTCAATGTAATACTGTCCGTGTCACAGTGCATGTACAGATGATTCTACATCTTTGTTCAAAATCCACTTCTCTGTCCTCTGCCTGTCCTAACTGTTAGTCTTCATCCTCTCGTAACATGTATTCCATTCACAGGAGGCTGCTGAGGGATAAACAAATGGAATCACAGGAGGTTGTTGGCACCTTAATTGGGAGAATGGGCTCATAATAATGTCCGGAACGGAGCAAATGGAATGGCATCTTATTCCATACCACTGATTCCGCTCCAGCCATTACCACAAGCCCATTCTCCCCAATTAAGGTGCCACCAACCTCCTGTGATTCCATTTGTTTATCCCATGACATTTAAAGAAATAGGTTTGTTACCTTAAGTGCTACTTTTAGTTTGGCAGTCTTCTTGGAAGCGCCAGAGGCCTCGTGGACAGTGCCCTGGATGTCCACAGACATGGTAAAGACTGGAGAGTGGACCTGGCCGGACTGGGACAACAGCTTGTACTGCAGCCCCGGGTGGACCTGGTTCAGTCTCATCAGGGCATTCATGGGGTGGTTGGGGTCCGTCATCTCACTGTCCAGAACTAGGAGGAGGAAACAAGGAGACCACACAGGCTTTCAATAACATCAATCAAAAGTATGTGGTACATTGTGATTCTGAACAACTGAGTAGCTTCATTCTGTACAGTACTTTCTAGGTCTAATTCTGTACTAGATCAGCACGGCAGGTGTTCAAGGTGTGTTCTAATCTAAATACCCAGGCAGACGCGGAGTAATATTGAGGGAGGGAACAGGTGTGTCAGAGTGGGAGGTGGTGGTAATACATGGAGAGCGTCCTGTAATGTAGGTAGGGTGTCCTGTAATGTATTGAGCATTCGGAAAGTATTCAGACCCCTTGACTTTTTCCACATTTTGTTACGTTACAGCCTTATTCTAAAATTGATGAATTTTTTTTCTACACACAATACCCCATAATGACAACGCAAAAACAGGTTCATGGAAAATCTTACAAAATAAGTATTCAGACCCTTTACTCAATACTTTGTTGAAGCACCTTTGGCAGTGATTACAGCAGAGTCTTCTTGGGTATGACGCTACAAGCTTGAAACACCTGTATTTGGGGAGTTTCTCCCATTCTTCTCTGCAGATCCTCTCAAGCTCGGTCAGGTTGGATGGGGAGCGTCACTGCACAGCTATTTTCAGGTCTCTCCAGAGATGTTAGCTCTGGTATCATGTCCGGGCTCTGGCTGGGCCACTCAAGGACATTCAGAGACTTGTCACGAAGCCACTCTTGCGTTGTCTTGGCTGTGTGCTTAGGGTCGTTGTCCTGTTGGAAGGTAAACCTTGGCAACAGTTTGAGGTCCTGAGTGCTCTGGAGCAGATTTTCATCAAGGATCTCTCTGTACTTTGCGCCGTTCATCTTTCCCTCGATCCTGACTAGTCTCCCAGTCCCTGCCGCTGAAAAACATCCCCACAGCATGATGCTGCCACCACCATGTTTCACCGTAGGGATGGTGCCAGGTTTCCTCCAGATGTGACGCTTGGCATTCAGGCCAAAGAGTTCAATCTTGGTTTCATCAGACCAGAATCTTGTTTCTCATGGTCTGAGAGTATTTAGATGTCTTTTGGCAAACTCCAAGCGGACTGTCATGTGCCTTTTACTGAGGAGTGGCTTCCGTCTGGCCACACTACCATAAAGGCCTGATTGGAGGAGTGCTGCAGAGATGGTTGTCCTTCTGGAAGGTTCTCCCATCTTCACAGAGGAACTCTGGAGCTCTGTCAGAGTGCCCTTCGGTCACCTCCCTGACCAAGGCTCTTCTCCCCCGATTGCTCAGTTTGGCTGGGCAACAAGCTCTAGGAAGGGTCTTGGTGGTTCCAAACTTCTTCCATTTAAGAATGAAGGAGGCCACTGTGTTCTTGGGGACCTTCAATATGCATAAATTTTTTAGTACCCTTCCCCAGATCTGTGCCTCGACACAATCCTGTCTCAGAGCTCTACGGACAACTCCTTCGACCTCATGGCTTGGTTTTTGCTCTAACATGCACTGTCAACCATGGGACCTTATATAGACAGGTGTGTGCCTTTCCAAATCATGTCCAATCAATTGAATTTACCACAGGTGGACTCCAATCAAGTTGTAGAAACATCTCAAGGATGATCAATGGAAACAGGATGCACCTGAGCTCAATTTCGAGTCTGTAAATAAGGTATTTCTGTTTAAATGTTTATAATAAATGTGCAAAACATTTTTTTTTAAACGGTTTTCACTTTGTCATTATTGGGTATTGTGTGTAGATTGATGAGGAAAACAATATTTGAATCAATTTTAGAATAAGGCTATAACGTAACAAAACAAAGGGTCTGAATACTTTCCGAATGCACTATAGGTAGGGTGTCCTGTGAGAGGTAGGGTTTCCTGTGAGAGGTAGGGTGTCCTGTGAGAGGTAGGGTGTCCTGTGAGAGGTAGGGTGTCCTGTGAGAGGTAGAGAGATAATTGTGTGAGACTGCCTGGAGGGGGGGATTAATCCCCAGTCCATTTCAACTCCCATCTCTCAGTCACCTGCTTTGAACTGTGGGAAATTAAAGCCCTGTGGGATTGGTGTCACAGTGAGGGGGTATTTAATTACATCCTTACTAGTCATGAGGGGTGGGTGAGAGGTGGTATGGGATGAATACCCCACTCAAAATGCTGTTTTTGAGTAATGACATTCTGGAATGTACCAGAGTTCTTGTATGGTCAATGGGCATAGGCTGATCTTCAGAAATACTATGCTTCTACATTACTTCAAGTTGTTCTCCAGGCTGAATAGAGAGGAAAAGGATTCAGATCAGTTGAGCCAGAGCAACAGTGAATCTGACCTCTCATCAGGTTGTGTTTCATCTTCTTGAAGACTTGTCTGTCGTAAGTGTGTCCATCTTCATGCTGCCTTTTCTGACAGGTTCCTGTGGAACACAAAGTATGGATTCACCTTCAGGAGAGCAGATACCACCTGAGATCTCTGTATTTACACACACTCACATGTGGATACACACACCTTTTTTGTCTAACCCTGAGAGTCTGTGTGAGGGTTTGGTTGGAGGGAGAGGATTCATATTCAGAACCTTATAAAGCTGTCCGAAGGCCAGGAGACGTAGCGCATGCTGAAACACACAGAATAAACACAGTATTAAAACACCACACAGAATGAGGGCACAAAACTAGAGTCAAAAACACCCACAACCCCTCTAGGAAAGAGTGACACTAGAAATACCTACTAGGATGTAATTAACTTTTGAATTAAATGGAAAATTATCAAAAATGTGATTAAAATTTGTATTTGGCCTTACTGCTATTAGCCCCTACAAAAACAGCTTCACTACATGGAACAGATAGTCCCCCACCCAAAATAACTAAAGGAAGTTTGTTCTGAACTCTCTATCCTACATCTGAGTTTTTTTTTTTTTAACATGTATTTAACCCCTTATTTTTGTCACTAAACAGTCTCCATATATACACAGTACTTCCATACATTTCTTTGAACTGGTACCGGGGGAACTTCAGATGAGTCTTGTGAGGCCTGTGGGCGTCTCACCTTTACACAGATGGGTCATACCTGTTTTTTTTTGTTGCCCAAACCGTTCGGACGCTACAGACGTCTTTGTGAGAAGACCGATTTTTGGGATGTCTGACAAACAGCGCTCTAGCTCCGTCACCACAGATGCGGAAGTGCGACATAGGCAGATGCAGTGGATTGAGACGCATCCAATGCAGATATATTTAGCTTAAACCGTCAGATGTTATGGGGAAATCGACTTTAGGGGGTTAAGTCATTTTATTGGATTGGAAAAAGTTTTTACATTGGGAGCAGATTCACACTCACAACAACGTCGACTTACTGTACAGTGCAAGGACGAACAGATTTCATCCTGTCTGGAGCGAGAAATGGAGAGATCCTCACCTTCCTCTACCATCCCTATACCATCACATTGCAATCTGCTCAGGGCCAGGGGCAGTCTAGAAGTGTTTCATGTAGTAAGCAGCACTAAGCACTGCTGGTGTGCAGGGAGTGCTTTCCCACGCTCATTAGTGGGCTCATCGTCAGTCTCCTCTCCTCAGCTCCAAGGGGCTGTAGAGGTAGAGTCTGAAGTGCTGCAGTAGCACTGATCTAACGACAGACCTGGACTGGGCCTCTGGAGTGGCCGTACCAACATCATCCAATCAATGTTGGGGGGAAGGTAACAACGAGGAGAGCAGTGTAATTTCTTTCCTGATATATACAAGTCTGACTTTACAGTATTGTAGGTGTGTAAATGTCTAGATGTATTGTTAAGGTGTCTCACCTGTGCGTTGTGAGTGATAGCCTCAGCCTGTTGGCCAGTGATCACTGACAAGGTGTCTGTTGGCTCCATCTCACAGGGGTCGTGAACTCCCGGCCCATCTGGAACAGCAGTCAAAAATCAACATTCAAAAAGCTTCTTACATTGTCTGGGCTTACTGGGCTAGTGAATGGATGAGTCATATTTTTATTTAACCTTTATTTAACCAGAAAGTCCCAATTAAATGCAGACCACTTTCCCAGGGGAGATCTGGATATAAAACCTCCTAGTCCCTGTGACTAACCTGGGAGGAGGATCCCTGAGGCGATGCACTCCATGACCCTGCGCAGGGCCTCTCCGGGCCCCAGGGGCCGGTTACAGGTGGCTATGGCCTTCTCACAGATCAGCTCTATGGGCTGTCGAGAGAGAGAGAATAGATAGAGAGAGAAAGAGAACAGATCAGCTCTATGGGCTGTAGGGGGAGAGAGGGAGAGAGACAACAGATCAGCTCTATAGGAGGGAGAGAGACAACAGATCAGCTGTATGGGGGGGGAGAAAGAGAGAGAAATATATGTTCTCTTTCTCTATCTGTTCTCGATGACATCAACATGTACAGCACAAAATATACATTATGTACTCTCACACACCTCTTCCTCCTCTCCCTGGACCACTTACCCATCCTTTGAGAGGCTCCCACACAGTTTGTCTGTTGCACATGTCTCTGAGAATACGCATGACGATGACACATGACTTCAGATCTGTCACTCTGGCCTACATGGGGGAGCGACAAGACAATGTGAACATACTCTAAATACGTTTAAAGTCCAGTGATGCTAAAAACAACATGTACAGTCTACCAAAAGGATTCCTCAATCCTTCAGTCATACAAAGGATATTAGGGGAGAGTGGGGTAAGTTGAGCCAAATGGGTAAGTTGAGCCAAACTTGTTTCTAGGAAACCATAAAACAAAATTAGTCATTTGACCAAATATTTAGGAAGAGGTCATCATTTCATGGAGTGTGAAGGAAGAAAACACATGGAAAAAGTAGTAAGTAAGTTAGGTCCCCAAAAATTATTTTCACCAAGTCAAATGAATTTGTGTTAGCGGTTACTCAACAAAAATATAAACGCAACATGTAAAGTGTTGGTCCCATTTTTCATGAGCTGAAATAAAAGATCCCAGAAATGTTCCATACGCACAAAAAGGTTATTTCGCTAAAATGTTTTGCCCAAATTTGTTTACATCACTGTAAGTGAGCATTTCTCCTTTGCCAAGATAATCCATCCACCGAACAGGTGTGGCATATCAAGAAGCTGATTAAACAGCATGATCATTACACAGGTGCACCTTGTGCTGGGGACAATAATAATCATCATCATCATCACAACACCATGCCACAGATTCCTCAAGTTTTGAGGGTGCATGCAGTTGGCATGCTGACTAAGAATGTCCACCAGAGATGTTGGCAGAGAACTGAATGTTCATTTCAACATCTTTTTAGAGAATTTGGCAGTACGTCCAACCGGCCTGACAACCGCAGACCACGTGTAACCACGCCAGCCCAGGACCTCCACATCTGGCTTCTTCACCTGCGGGATTGTCTGAGACCAGCCACCAGACAAAAGATGAAACTGTGGGTTTGCACAACTGAAGAATGTCTGCACAAACTGTCAGAAACCGTCTCAGGGAAGCTCATTTTTATATGCCATTTAGCAGACGCTTTTATCCAAAGCAACTTACAGTCATGTGTGCATACATTTTTACGTATGGGTGGTCCCGGGGATCGAACCCACTACCATCTGCGTGCTCGTTGTCCTCACCAGGGTCTTGACCGGACTGCAGTTCGGCGTCGTAACAGACTTCAGCTCACCTTCGATGTCAACTGGCATGCTGTAGAAGTGTGCTCTTCACTGATGAATCCCGGCTTCAACTGTACCGTGCAGATGGCAGACAGAGTATATGGCGTCGTGTGGGCGAGCGGTTTGCTGATGTCAACGTTGTGAAGAGAGTGGCGGTGGGGTTATGGTATGGACAGACATAAGTTACGGACAACAAACACAATTGTATTTTATCGATGGCAATTTGAATGCATAGAGATATCATTACGGGATCCTGAGGCCCATTGTCATGCCATTCATCCACTGCCATCACCTCATGTTTCAGCATGATAATGCACGGCCCCATGTCCCAAAGATCTGTAAACAATTCCTGGAACATTAAAATGTCCCAGTTCTTCCATGGCCTGCATACTCACCAGACATGTTACACATTGAGCATGTTTGGGATGCTCTGGATCAACGTGTACGACAGCATTTTCCAGTTCCCAACAATATCCAGCAACTTCGCACAGCCATTGAAGAGGAGTGAGACAACATTCCACAGGCCACAATCAACAGCCTGATCAACTCTATGCGAAAAAGATGTGTCGCGCTGCTTGAGGCAAATGGTCACACCAGATACTGACTGGTTTTCTGATCCACGCCCCTACCTTATTTTTAAGGTATCTGTGACCAACAGATGCATATCTGTATTCCCAGTCAAGTGAAATCCATAGATTAGGGCCTGATTAATTTATTTCAATTGACTGATTTCCATATGAACTGTAACTCATGTTGCATTTATATTATTTTTAGTGTAGATCATTTTAAGATTGTTCTATACATCATCTATAAGCTACAATATGAAAGTGCATTCTTGTAGCTGTGTGGGCTAATATAGTATAAACGTTTGCATTGCATTAAGTTGAGCCAATAGCCATGGGGTAAGTTGAACCAATGGCACATGTTATCTTCCCAGGCGTAATGCAAGGCATTATCGCTGTGATATGAGGTAACAACAGGGCCTATGTTAAAAGTGTTAAGAAAGTACAACGTGTTTGTTAGGCGTTAAGGCTGTGTTAAAAGATGCTTAAAATTATTAAAATCGACAAAAATGCAATTGTGATTGTGTTGAATTGTGTTTGGGAAATAAAGATAGACATGGTTGTAAAAAGGTAGTGTTAATATTTCATTCAGGACAGAAATGTGTAGGCGGTTTAACTTACCCCATACTCGGGGGTAAGTGGTGCCAAGATACCACTTTTTTGAACAAGCATGTTTTAATCTGTAATGTTTACATTCATTCTGATTTTTCCAGGGATACAAAACATCCTGAAATATATGTAGATATATTTTTGAGAAAGAATGCTAGATTTCCCTTGACGGAGTGATGCTGAATGTAAAACATTTCAAAACTTAGCCCACTCTCCCCTAAGCCATTTAATGTTCCCCAAATATCCCCCTAAGGAGCAAACTGTTCAATATGAATGAGATATGAATTGAATATCAAACCATAAAATCAGAACAGATGTCCCACCTGGAACCATTTGGTGTGTCTGAGTGTTGCCAGGGCGGCCTGGCACCGTCGCCCGTCCAGCACCTCATCAAACTCCTCCACGCCTTTCTCTGGAGAGAGGGACGGGATGAGGACACGTATTGTTTTGGCCTAGTGGACCTTCAGAAAGACTGCCACACAGACACAGGCTGCATCTGAAATGGTACCCTATTACCTATGCAGGCGCTGGTAAAAAGTAGAGCACTTTAGGGAATAGGCTGCCATTTAGGATGTATCCACAGACACACAGGCAAGTTTAGGGAATAGGGTGCCATTTAGGACAGATACCCTACAGGCAAGTAGGGTGGCCGGCTATAATTAGCATCCCACTGATCTGATAGAATGAGTTGAGGGGAAATTCTAGAGTTTGAAAGTTTCTGTGATTTTTCCCCTCCTGCACAGAAGCTGAAAGAACTGTTACAGGAGTAAATGTGAGCACATGCATGCTTCTGCTGTGGCCCTGCCGGATGGACACTCAGTCTGGATGCAGTTCAGTGGCACTGAGATGGCTTCACCACCAGATTAGTGTGTTGTCAGTTCAGTGCAGGACAACGAAAATGAGAGCATGGCCACATCTCAGGACACATGACAGATTTTTTAGATGGGAAGAATGTAAGGGGATAATGTCTGGAGATTAGTTCTGTAACTATTGTCTCGAGGATCTCAAGGATGTTTAGAGAAGTAGTTGGAAAGCCTTGGAATTGAAATTGTAAAATGGAATTGAGTCATAATTCAATTAGTTTGTCATGTATTGTAGTAGGACGCCATGCTAGTATTTTCTGTCTTGCAGGTCGATCAGATGTTTATGTTTACTAAAGAGTTTCCACACAGGCTTCCTGTGGGATCAACCCCGCCGTGCCATGGCTGGAACTGAGCCGTGGGAGAAAATAAAACGCAACGGCAGAACGATAGAACATAAACATCAGAGTGAGGACGCCACCCTAGAAAGAAAGTGAAGGCTCAGTTTCTCGGGAGCAGCTAGCTAGGAGGTGATTGCTCTGGGCCGAACAAACGGACTGCAGACCACACTAAAGAACTCCGAGCTTAGTAAGAGAGATAACCTCTCCATCTCCCCCATCTCCCCCAAATAAGTTATGTGGCAAATTGGCAATGGAATTCACATTCAATTACAACATCTACTGTATATAGGCCTGCAGCTAGAACCACAACCAATACTGGCTATTTCAAAAAGGTACAAAAAGATCGCCCCACTCCACACAATCAAATGCCTTTTTGGCATTAATTACATTAGCTCGTACCTCTTATTTTAGAATGAGCAATTGTATTTTTTGATGGATAATTGACTCCAACCGTTGGGACAGATTCTCGCAAATATTTATATAAATGCCGACTAATGAAATTGGACGGTAAGATCCACTTATTTTTAGGTTTTAAATGTTAATTCCTTGCTTGGTTTATTGAACTGGGGAAAATAGAGCGAGTTGGAAATCAAATTGCTTTTCTGATTTCTTCAATGGCGAATTCTTGTTCTAAGATCATTAGCTTTTTAATTTAGTGGCCACACTGGCCATTTCAAATGTATGGCTAGTAGCCATGTGCAGCAGTATACTGTATTTACGGAAGGGTTTGTAAGAGCACTCTGTGTGTGGTTTTGCAGATCGTTGCTGTAGAGTCCATTGTGAAAGCTGAACAGGTTGGAAGAGGTGGAGGACTAACAGACGAGCCAATGAGAGACACAGGCCAGGGTCAACCAGTATCACAACATAGGGTCATTCCGTGTCCCACATCCTAATAGTATACTGATGGCCTTCATGGTCTGAGCCAGGGGATAAAGTACAGGATCTGCTAAGGATCTTGGCCCAGGGACTGCAAGGACATAAATAGGACAATAGAGGCACTGAATATACACTATATCTCAATCCTTTCAGGATTTCTCAGGGATTTTTTGTGATATTTGCTGCGGCAATATGAGATTGTCCAAGAAACCAGGCGAATGGAACCTCATGAGCCCTTCCTATGTAGAACTTTCTCTCCACCAGCGGCAGGTCATGAAGAAGCCATCAATCATAAGTACCACATTCCAATAAGACAACCCCAATGAGTGCTCCCGGGCATCATCAGCTTAGATTTTGATTCGTGACCAAAAACCAAAGAAAATTAATACCACTGACTTTACAACATGAAGTTATGGGATGTCATTCTGAGCAGATCAACTGCAAAGTTAGAGAGAGGCCTCGAATATCAATGTGCATAGACCACCAGTCTTCAACAAATTACAAAATATGGTGAATATCGGGAGTCAAGAAGGCAGTTGGATACCAGTTTGTGTCTGTCTTTTGTCGGCTCTGAAATGGACATGGACCAGAATTTCATGGTATACAGTAACCCAGAGAAGAGAAGTACAGTGAACAGAAGGGGGGAGAGGAGCGATGTCTAGGGCTAGACAGAGAGTGGTTTTATAAGGGGAGCCCCTTGTACCCAGGCGTCCTGCGCTGGGCCTCGTAGCTAGGCTGGCTCCCAGCACGGGGCTCCCAGGTTTGTTAATCCACAGAAGCTGGGCTGGAGTGCTGTGGTAAAATATAGACATTTGCAGATATACTCCCAAACATTAAATGGAGAGAACTGTTTCGGGGCAATGTGCCTTCCTCAGGGTTGAGGATGCTATGGTAAGTACCACAACTAGTTGTGAGGCCAGACGGAACCTTAGAAATATAATCCTAATTCAAATTCTATGGATAGAACAAACTACAGTATAGTCAGTCAATGTTCTGCTTGGGTTGTTCCCCAAAACTAGAGGTTGCCGGATAACTTGTGCTGGCATATTGTATTGGTTACTTATTTGCTTGTGCTGTGTGGAGTATTGGGAGGCTTAGGACAAATCTTTCTCTCCTAGAATTTATCTGCTCCAGTATTTTAGACTTAACACTCAATGCACTATTTATGCTGCAACGACCTTTTGTACAGAATGCTGACAACCTTCCTTTCAGTCTCCCCCAGTGGGGTCGACACACTACAATAGGTGTTACATAATGGCTGCTCTTCACGCCTGACTCACCTTTCATTCATTTTTAAAAAATCACAGCATAAGCACTCCTCTCAGTCTCCAGTTTCCCACTAACTGGATGTTGGGGAAGGATAGAATAAGCACCCAGACTCTCTGTTAGACAAGAATGATGAGACAGAATGCTGTAGGAGAAACCCGAGCAGAGACAGCTCTTTTTACACTTGCTGTATCCCAACAGAGCTACGCTTTCAGCTCTTACCACAGAGACACTTAACAGATTCACGTCCCTCCCCTTTCTCCTGACCACTCCAACCCCCCCCATCACCCTCCCTTGTCTCCTTTCTCCACACCCCGTTCCACTCATCTTTCCCCTTTGCTTTGTACTACCCTCATTCCTGCAGTCTCCCTACTTCGCCTCTTCCTCCTCTTTCCTTTGCTCCCCCACCTCTCCTCATCCTCCTCTCTCTCTCTCAACTCTGCCTTGCTAATTTAAGGAGAGGACCACAATGGAAATAAGGGTTAATAAGGTTTAATGTGTACATCCTTAATAGATTGTAAAAGCATATTATGTTGTCTCCAGCAGAAACAGTTATGTTTGTTATAATTATTGGATAAAATCATACATTCAAATCATTAATTCCTTCAAAGGTTAAATAAGACAGAAAAAACATCTCATGGCGAGGACAGACAGAGGGGTAAATACCTTGGTCTGTGGCAGTGTGTTCGTCTCTCATGGCCAAAGAGGACAGACAAAGGGGTAAATACCTTGGTCTGTGGCAGTGTGTTCGTCTCTCATGGTGAGGACAGACCGAAGGGGTAAATACCTTGGTCTGTGGCAGTGTGTTCGTCTCTCATGGTGAGGACAGACCAAAGGGGTAAATACCTTGGTCTGTGGCAGTGTGTTCGTCTCTCATGGTGAGGACAGACCGAAGGGGTAAATACCTTGGTCTGTGGCAGTGTGTTCGTCTCTCATGGTGAAGACAGACCGAAGGGGTAAATACCTTGGTCTGTGGCAGTGTGTTCTTCTCCCATGGCCAGAGAGGACAGGGTGATCTTCAGGGTGAATTTGGGGTCGTTGGTGTTGACCACCCGGATGGCTGACTCCGACACGCTCGACCGCACCTCATACTTGTCCTCTGTCAGCGTCTGAAAGGGCAACCAACCAGGGTTGAGGCAGATCATAAGCCAGCTGTGGCAGGTTCAACACATTTACATCACACACACTATTATATTACTAATGTTTCAACTTTATAGGCATCATACTAAAACTTCCAATTCGATTTTCTTTGCATGGCATCTTATTTTGTCTTTCCAGTTTTGTAGTGATTATGTTCAAAAGGAGAAAGATTCAGGTGTATTATCTAGTCTTGTAGCTAGTTCCTTTGAAGAATGAACCATCTCTCCACTTCTGTGACAACCTCTCTCCACCCCCTGTGCTGAGAAGCCGAAAGGTGCAAATGGAATTGTCCCTTGATGTTAACCTGCACAGGTTGGGGGTGTATTTAACTGGCTGATGGGGAGGGGGGAGCACGGGGAGACCGTGTACAGTACAGTAGTCAGCTCTGCAAAGCACTAGAAACTGCAGTGGTGGGTGTAGTCAGGTCTGCACTACATTACATTACAGAAAGCAGTGGTGGATGTAGTCAGGTCTGCACTACATTACATTACAGAAAGCAGTGGTGGAGGTAGTCAGGTCTGCACTACATTACAGAAAGCAGTGGTGGAGGTAGTCAGGTCTGCACTACATTACAGAAAGCAGTGGTGGAGGTAGTCAGGTCTGCACTACATTACAGAAAGCAGTGGTGGAGGTAGTCAGGTCTGCACTACATTACAGAAAGCAGTGGTGGAGGTAGTCAGGTCTGCACTACATTACAGAAAGCTGTGGTGGAGGTAGTCAGGTCTGCACTACATTACAGAAAGCAGTGGTGGAGGTAGTCAGGTCTGCACTACATTACAGAAAGCAGTGGTGGTAGGCTCAGGTCTGCACTGCACTACCTAAAGGAGTGGTATTCGGAACTCACATTGGATAATGCGCCATCCCATCAATTTTAAAATGTTACAGTTACATGTAAAATGCTTGAGTGAAAACAGACCTGTAGTTGCACAGGCAGGTTGGCGCTGACAGTGTACAGCAGTAATTTGGTGGGTTTGTCTCTGCACATCAGGACCAGCTCCAAGTCCATGTCTCCTTTAACCAGGAGGCCCTTTGCCACAAGACCCACACGCACAACCCCACACAGGATCGACGCACTCTGGGGCCTGGTTTGGTTAGAGCAGAGCAGTAATCAGCCACATAACACTAGTTTAAAAGGATGCCATTAACAGTGGAAATAAAAAACATTTGCTTTCAGACGCTCGTCATATGTTGAAATTACATTTATGTAGCCTACACATTTTCACCTACCATGTAGAGTGTCTCAAGCTTTTGTGACATGGGAGAGGACTACTCACTTTGTGGTGCTGCGGGTGGCGGTAAAGTCTCCAGCATCCTTGGCGTCGCTGGTGGTGGGGGTCGGGGCCTTGCTTAGGGAGGCGTTGAGGTTGTCCATCCAGTCTGACACCTGCTTGAGGGCACGTTCCACGGTGGACACCAGCTTCTGGACAGCCTCCAGCTCCTCTGGCGAAGGGTAGATGTTGGCGTGCTTTGCCATGACGTGGCGGTCGTCGTTGGCGAACAATCGGATGGACCTCTGAGAGGAAGGAAGAACAAAGTCATTCAGAACATGGGATCCTTTGTACTCCAAATGACTTGGCCAGTTACAATTAGGCGTTTGCTGGGCCAGACAAGCCATCTTACACCGCATATATTTGACAGTAACACCTTGTGCCGACACAATCCTGTCTCGGAGCTCTACGGTCAATTCCTTCGACCTCATGGCTTGGTTTTTGCTCTGACATGCACGGTCAACTGTGGGACCTTATACAGTGGCTTGCGAAAGTTCACCCCCCTTGGCATTTTTCCTATTTTGTTGCCTTACAACCTGGAATAAAAATTGATTTTTGGGGGGTTTGTATCATTTGATATACACAACATGCCTACCACTTTGAAGATGCAGGTGAACCTCCGTCCCAGTCTCAAATCTCTGGAAGACTGAAACCGGTTTCCCTCAAGTATTTCCCTGTATTTAGCACCATCCATGAATCCTTAAATTCTGACCAGTTTCCCAGTCCCTGCCGATGAAAAACATCCGCACAGCATTATGCTGCCATCACCATGCTTCACTGTGGGGATGGTGTTCTCGGGGTGATGAGGTGTTGGGTGTGCGCCAGACATAGTGTTTTCCTTGATGGCCAAAATGCTCAATTTTAGTCTCATCTGACCAGAGTACCTTCTTCCATATGTTTGGGGAGTCTCCCAAATGCCTTTTGGCGAACACCAAACGTGTTTGCTTATCTTTTTCTTTAAGCAACGGCTTGTTTCTGGCCACTGTTCCGTAAAGCCCAGCTCTGTGGAGTGTACGGCTTAAAGTGGTCCTATGGACAGATACTCCAATCTCCGCTGTGGAGCTTTGCAGCTCCTTCAGGGTTATCTTTGGTGTCTTTGTTGCCTCTCTGATTAATGCCCTCCTTGCCTGGTCCGTTAGTTTTGGTGGGCGGCCCTCTCTTGGCAGGTTTGTTGTGGTGCCATATTCTTTCCTGTTTTTAATAATGGATTTAATGGTGCTCCGTGGGATGTTCTAAGTTTCAGATATTTTTTTATAACCCAACCCTGATTTGTACTTCTCCACAACTTTGACCCTGACCTGTTTGAAGAGCTCCTTTGTCTTCATGGTGCCGCTTGCTTGGTGGTGCCACTTGCTTAGTGGTGTTGCAGACTCCACTCCAATTTTTTTTCACCATTTGGACTATTTTGTGTATGTCCATTACATGAATTCCAAATAAAAATATATTTAAATTACAGGTTGTAATGCAATAAAATAGGAAAACCACCAAGGGGGATGAATACTTTTGCAAGGCACTGTATAGACAGGTGTGTGCCTTTCCAAATCATGTCCAATCAATTGAATTTACCACAGGTGAACTCCAAGTTGTAGAAACATCAAGGATGATCAATGCAAACAGGATGCACCGGAGCTCAATTTCGAGTCTCATGGCAAAAGGTCTGAATACTTAGGTCAATAAAAACAACTGTTTTAGCTTTGTCATTATGGGGTATTGTGTGTAGATTGATTAATTTTTATTTATTTAATCCATTTTAGAATAAGGCTGTAACGTAACAAAATGTGGACAAAGTCAAGGGATCTGAATACACTGTGTGTGTAATATATATATATATATATACACACATACACTGCTCAAAAAAATAAAGGGAACACTTAAACAACACAATGTAACTCCAAGTCAATCACACTTCTGTGAAATTAAACTTTCCACTTAGGAAGCAACACTGATTGACAATAAATGTCACGTTGCTGTGCAAATGATATAGACAACAGGTGGAAGTTATAGGCAATTAGCAAGACACCCCCAATAAAGGACTGGTTTTGCAGGTGGTGACCACAGACCACTTCTCAGTTCCTATGCTTCCTGGCTGATGTTTTGGTCACTTTTGAATGCTGGCGGTACTTTCACTCTAGTGGTAGCATGAGACGGAGTCTACAACCCACACAAGTGGCTCAGGTAGTGCAGCTCATCCAGGATGGCACATCAATGCGAGCTGTGGCAAGAAGGTTTGCTGTGTCTGTTAGCGTAGTGTCCAGAGCATGGAGGCGCTACCAGGAGACAGGCCAGAGACGTGGAGGAGGCTGTAGGAGGGCAACAACCCAGCAGCAGGACTGCTACCTCCGCCTTTGTGCAAGGAGGAGCACTGCCAGAGCCCTGCAAAATGACCTCCAGCAGGCCACAAATGTGCATGTGTCTGCTCAAACGGTCAGAAACAGACTCCATGAGGGTGGTATGAGGGCCCGACGTCCACAGGTGGGGGTTGTGCTTACAGCCCAACACCGTGCAGGACGTTTGGCATTTGCCAGAGAACACCAAGATTGGCAAATTCGCCACTGGCGCCCTGTGCTCTTCACAGATGAAAGCAGGTTCACACTGAGCACGTGACAGACGTGACAGAGTCTGGAGACGCCGTGGAGAACGTTCTGCTGCCTGCAACATCCTCCAGCATGACCGGTTTGGCGGTGGGTCAGTCATGGTGTGGGGTGGCATTTCTTTGGGGGGCCGCACAGCCCTCCATGTGCTCGCCAGAGGTAGCCTGACTGCCATTAGGTACCGAGATGAGATCCTCAGACCCCTTGTGAGACCATATGCTGGTGCGGTTGGCCCTGGGTTCCTCCTAATGCAAGACTTCATGTGGCTGGAGTGTGTCAGCAGTTCCTGCAAGAGGAAGGCATTGATGCTATCGACTAGCCCGCCCGTTCCCCAGACCTGAATCCAATTGAGCACATCTGGGACATCATGTCTCGCTCCATCCACCAACGCCACGTTGCACCACAGACTGTCCAGGAGATGGCGGATGCTTTAGTCCAGGTCTGGGAGGAGATCCCTCAGGAGACCATCCGCCACCTCATCAGGAGCATGCCCAGGCATTGTAGGGAGGTCATCCAGGCACGTGGAGGCCACACACACTACTGAGCCTCATTTTGACTTGTTTTAAGGACATTACATCAAAGTTGGATCAGCCTGTAGTGTGGTTTTCCACTTAAATTTTGAGGGTGACTCCAAATCCAGACCTCCATGGGTTGATAAATTTGATTTCCATTGATAATTTGTGTGATTTTGTTGTCAGCACATTCAACTATGTAAAGAAAAAAGTATTTAATAAGATTATTTCATTCATTCAGATCTAGGATGTGTTATTTTAGTGTTCCCTTAATTTTTTTGAGCAGTGTATGTATGTATGTATGTATGTATAGTACCAGTCAAAAGTTTGGAGACACCTACTCATTCATGTTTTGTTTTTTACATTGTAGAATAATAGTGAAGACATCAAAACTATGAAATAACACATATGGAATCATGTAGTAACCAAAAAAGTGTTAAAACAAATCAAACTATATTTCATATTTGAGATTCTTCAAATAGCCACCCTTTGCCTTGATGACAGCTTTGCACACTCTTGGCATTCTCTCAACCAGCTTCACCTGGAATGCTTTTCCAACAGTCTTGAAGGAGTTCCCACATATGCTGAGCACTTTTCCTTCACTATGCGGTCCAACTCATCCCAAACCATCTCAATTTGGTTGAGGTCGGGGGATTGTGGAGACCAGGTCATCTGATGCAGCACTCCATCACTCTCCTTCTTGGTAAAATAGCCCTTACACAGCTTGGAGGTGTGTTGGGTCATTGTCCTGTTGAAAAACAAATGATAGTCCCACTAAGCACAAACCAGATGGGATGGCGTATCGCTGCAGAATGCTGTGGTAGCCATGCTATTTAAGTGTGCCTTGAATTCTATATAAATCACAGACAGTGACCACCAGCAAAGCACCCCCACGACCATAACACCTCCTCCTGCATGCTTTACGGTGGGGAATACACATGCAGAGATCATCCATTCACCCACACCACGTCTCACAAAGACACGGCGGCTGGAACCATAAATCTCCAATTTGGACTGCAGACCAAAGGACAAATTTCCACCGGTCTAATGTCCATTAATCGTGTTTCTTGGCCCAAGCAAGTCTCTTCTTCTTATTTGTGTCCTTTAGTAGTGGTTTGTTTTGCAGCAATTCGCCCATGAAGGCCTGATTCACACAGTCTCCTCTGAACAGTTGATGTTGAAATGTGTCTGTTACATGAACTCTGTGAAGCACTTATTTGGGCTGCAATTTCTGAGGCTGGTAACTCTAATGAACTTATCCTCTGCAGCAGAGGTAACTCTGGGTCTTCCATTCCTGTGGCTGTCCTCATGAGAGCCAGTTTCATCATAGCGCTTGATGGGTTTTGCGACTGCACTTGAAGAAACTTTCAAAGTTCTTGAAATGTTCTGGATTGACTGACCTTCATGTCTTAAAGTAATGATGGACTGTCGTTTCTCTTTGCTTATTTGAGCTGTTCTTGCTGTAATATGGACTTGGTCTTTTACCAAATAGGACTATCTTCTGTATACCTTGTCACAACACAACTGATTTGCTCAAACACATTAAAGAAGGAAAGAAATTCGACAAATTAACTTTTAAGAAGGCACACCTGTTAATTGAAATGCATTCCAGGTGACTACCTCATGAAGCTGGTTGAGAGAATGCCAAGAGTGTGCAAAGCTGTCATCAAGGCAAAGGGTGGCTATTTGAAGAATCTCAAATCTCAAATATATTTTGATTTGTTTAACCCTTTTTTGGTTACTACATGATTCCATATGTGTCATTTCAATATTTTTGATGTCTTCACTATTATTCTACAATGTAGAAAATAGTAAAAATAAAGAAAAACCCTTGAATGAGTAGGTGTTCTAAAACCTTTGACCGGTAATGCATATGACATGAGTTTTATTTGGAAATCTGAAGTGCACATTTGGACTCCCAGGTGTTTTGCTTGCTTGTACAGTGCCTACAGAAAGTATTCACACCCCTTGACTTTTTCCACATTTTGTTGTGTTACAGCCCGAATTTAACATGGAATAAATTCTATTTTTTTTAAATCAATGGCCTACACACAATACCCCATAATGTCAAAATGGAATTACGTTTTTCCAAATCTTTACAAATTAATAAAAAATGCTGAAATGTCTTGAGTCAATAAGTATTCAACCCTTTGTTATGGCAAGCCTAAATAATTTCTGGAGTAAAAATGTGCTTAACAAGTCACATAATAAGTTGAATGGACTCACTGTGTGCAATAATAATGTTTGACATTATTTTTGAATGACTACATCATGTCTGTACCCAGACATACAATTATCTGTAAGGTCCCTCAGTCAAGCAGTGAATTTCAAACATAGATTCAACCACAAAAAACAGGGAGGTTTTCCAATGCCTCGCAAAGGGCACCCATTGGTAGATGGGTAAAAATGTAAAAGCAGACATTGAATAGCTCTTTGAGCATAGTGAAGTTATTCATTACACTTTGGATGGTGTATCAAAACACCCAGTCACTACAAAGATACAGGCGTCCTTCCTAACTCAGTTGCCGGAGAGGAAGGAAACTGCTCAGGGATTCTTTTCACCATGAGGCCAATGGTGACTTTAAAACAGTGTTTAATGGCTGTGATAGGAGAAAACTGAGGATGGATCAACATCGTAGTTACTCCACAATACTAACCTAATTGACAGAGTTAAAAGAAGGAAAGCTGTACAGAATACCGCAAAAAAATGTCTCATCTTTCAAAATACATTGAGTCCTCTAAATTTACAGCATTTTCCTCACTCAGACAAATATTTTTTGCAGAAGTTGCCCAATTATTGGGAGGGATGGGGGCAACTTCTCATCGCGTGCGGTGCTCAAGTTCAGAATGGCTGTCAGTCAAAACCCATACAGCGCTGTGAAGCGCAGAGCCTGAGCTCTGACGTAATTTATATAATGTTCATGTACAGCTAATGCGTTACTATTTAGGTGCTTATCAGTGCCCAAATCTGCCATTTTCAACCCGTATATGGGTACGAGTGTAAAGGGCTACTTTTAGCAGCTATTTTAGATTTTGTTTTAGTCTTAGTTTGTCTTAGTCACATTTTAGTCATTTCATCCTTTTTTAGTTTGAGTTATTTACAGTCAGTGCATTTCTTTCCATTTAATAATCAATATTTACCTCTTACTTGCATCATGTGCACACTCAGCCTATTATCGCCTCGTATACCTTAACTGGCAACATGGTAACCAATGCCAGCCATTACCAACCATAGCCTATAGGATATAAAGCCTACAAGTTAAACCATTTAGCTCAGATTTTCTCCCAATCATAACTGTCAGATGGGGGTAAATAACATTGATTTCCTTGAAAAGGGGAAAATGAGCCTTCCTACAATGCCAGAAGTATTACTATTCTCCCTAATATTTCAGCAAAAAGCAATTGTTTTTCCAATCAGAAAAGGCAACCGCAAGTCGCTATTGCCAACACAGATGAATAACAGCGCACATGACAAAATAGAGCTTATGATGTGATCAGATCAAAAGTGGTCTATATGAAAGTAAAGATTTTCAAAGACATTATTGTTTCTAATTGAGGTTAGTTTGTTACAATTGAAGTGTCCTGGCTGTGCATCAGCTCAAAAGAAACCGAGACGAGTGACTGAAGTGACCAGGAGCTGTGTGCTTGTGGGAGAGCCAGAATCAGCCTGTGCAACAGAAATACGTTATCAGCCAATGAGAGGATTGCATTATATATTCTGCACAGGGATGCATGCTTATGATAGGACAAAACAGATGAAAAGGAGTTTCATGTCTACTTGAATGTCCATTAGTCTCACATAGAATTCTCGTCTCGTTAATGTTGACTAAAGTGAAATTAACACTGTAGGGCAATCACAACTCTATATCAGAGAGAGGCATGCACATCAACAACCACAACATATACATTTCACATCACCTCTCCGTCTCTCTCTCTCCTCTCAAACAACCTGTCTTTATGCAAGACCTGACATACAGAAACATACACACAGATCGTCAAACCCAAACATACAATATAGCCACAGACAAAGATAGCAAACTCAGACATCCACACACTCAGACAGGCACACACACCAGAGGAGGCTGGTGGGAGGAGCTATAGGAGGACAGACGCATTGTAATAGCTGGAATGGATTCAATGGAAGAGTCAAACACATTGTTTCCATGTATTTGGTACCATTCCATTGATTCCATTCCAGCCATTACAATGAGTTGTCCTCCTATAGCTCTTCCCACCAGCCTCCTCTGACACACACAGACAGAGAGAACTCACCATCTCTACAGGAGAGGACCACAGACCTCTGGTCTAGGAGTGTGACTGGTTGTGGACTAGGTCAGGACCAGGGTCCCTTAACTCTGCCTCCTCATGCAGTCACCTCTGACCCTTCAGCTAGCTCGTGTCCCACGTGGCAGAGATACAGGTAAATCAGCACAGCTGTGGAAAAAGCTGTGGGATACAATGATAGACATTTAGCACACTGTCTATTGCCTGACGACTCAAACGGAATTCTTCCACTGCTCTGTCGATTGCTACATACTTCAGTCAGACTGCCATCACTGAAGTTATTTGTTGTGACGTCAAAATGAGGGGTAGGCTATTGTACAAAACAAAGTAATTAACGATTGGATAATCTCTACCCAATCAAAGTGTCAAAGCCAATAACAAATTTTCAAAATGCCGCTTTACCCACATGTGTGCTGGCTCTAGCCCAACTCATCGGTTTCTGGGACCAATCAGAACAATTAGAATGTGTTTGCATTTTACAAATCGTCAGAGAGGTACTCAGATCCAGGGTAGCAAACGGTGTAGGATCTCGAAATCTAAAACCCAGGATGGCACTGCTCAGGTAGCCTCATTTCCAACTTTTAGAGAAGTGGTCTGTCTGCTCATCTCCTTCCCATTCATGTCCTCTATTTGGGGAAGGTTATTTGAACCCAGGGAGGTTTATTTTGGGGGTTGTGTTTATTTAGGTCATTTTCACTGCAGTAGACTTTATGAGCTGTGGTTTTATGTTGGCAGAGGACTCCCAAATGACATTCTGTCTGCACCATGTTGCTGGCCAGGACAGACGAGCACCCACTGAATAAGGCCTATTTAGCCTATAGCTATCCACTTCAAATGGTGTGTCGCTCAACATTTGATGTATGACAATGTCAACTTCTCACTTAGTAAATCACATTGTTTTAACATGATTTCAAAGTTATAACTTACACCAATTCCATAAATAATCTTGGATCACACAGTCCTGGAGTCAGATCGACAAAAAAACATTTTTTTAACTGTCAAATCTGGACTAGTCAAATTCCGGGACTTGAGAGTACACTTAGTCCTAATCGATGTTCATGAAACCAACAATTCTGAATTATCTTGATGTAGTCTAACTTAGTGCAATTTAGTTGAGGGGGGAAGCTTTAAGCTGTCAGTGAAATTGGCCCTTATGTAACACATAAGGCACAGCTGGCTGCTTTTAAAAAACAGATTAGGCTAAGTGGTACACACAATTTGAGCAGCGAGCAATGCATAGAGCTCTCCGTTTTGGTTAACTAACAACTGCTCTTATTCAACGAGATTGATAAAACAGTGTAAAGTGACTTAATAGAGTGACACAGGAGGTCTCGTTCAAACCATCTGCCCAAGGACTCTCCAGTCCACTCAGTTACAGGCTACTTGAGGACAGTTTTGTCTATTCTTATAGTAACGTAACTTAATTTGCATGTTAATTTGAATGCAACAACTGGCCTAGAAGATGTTGTGGTTCCCTCAAATGTTTTATCTGTCCTCAAAAGTGTATTTATGGAGTCCCGCTGTGTTAGGCTGGACAGCTGCATCTGTTATGAAACATCGGCTTAAAGTAAAACACATTTTATATTTAGGATTATGCCTTCGTTAATACATTAATGGATCTATGAGAAAAATGTGTGATGTACTGTATGCATACAGCATACGTACAATGCTCTTATCAAAGTCTGTTCCTAAAAGCAGCTGAGAAAGGGCGTGTGCGTGTATGCGTGTTAGTGTGTGCGCTCGTCCTCGTTTCAGGCCTAGCCGATTTCCTATTCACACACCACAGTAAGAAATACGAATGTTCAGGTTGGGTTTGGGTCTATGAGTCTATAGGAGCTGCAGCAAAGTACCCCTGTCCTGACCTGAGAGCTATCATTGTCTCTTTCCCAGGTAATGGAGACATCATGTTCCCATGCATGAGTGAGCACTGAACAGCAGCAATCACAGCCCCATCCACTACACATCATCAGACAGAGCCACAGGGGCTCTGATGACAGTACTGGGGAGGACAGAGAGCAACCGGGCAGCACACTGTGCAAGTAGGCCTACATGGACAAGGCAGACAGACTACCGTAGCTGAATCTGTGCCCAAAACATACAACTTTCATGCAGATCAAGTGGACACCATCTACACAACTTACATATAGGCTAGTAGACCTCGAGATACAAGCCAATTCAGAGATTCAGATTCACCATCCATGAGAATATTATCCACCAAGTCCATTGGACTAGCAGCAGGCCAACCTTGGGGGATATCATTACAACAACTCTGGATTATGTTTGCGTGTCTAAACCACTGCTCACATAGCTTTACCACTTAACTGGTGCCGAGGTAAAAGGCAACCACTGTCGCCACTACCACCACCACTACCAAACCTTCAACAAACTAGCCTGCAGCAACCCACGAGTCAGTGACTACCCCAAGGGACCTAGCAAGTCCTCCATGGGAGAGCTGAAGGGAGAGCTAAATGTGTCAGAAAGAGGAGAGCCTCTTGGTGCTTGTTCAAAACACAGTGAAAGAGGAAAACGTGGTGCATGGATATTTCAGTGCCAGTAAAACAGTCACAAAAAAAGCCTCTTTGGCTCTGAAGGTCCTATTTCAGTGAGGCTGAAAACAGTTAGAGGCAGACTTCAATGAGCCGTACAGTACAGAGCTGAAGAAGACATGAGGATAAAAGAAAATAGAAAATGTGTGTGACGAGGCGTAGCTAGCTAGTGTTCATCTGAGGTGTATCACCTCAGGTAGACCTATTTATCCCCACACCTGCTCCAAACCTAGCCTACCACCGTGACAGTAACAACAAGAGACAAATCGAGTTCTAGCCTTTATATGGAACTCCATTTGGGAATTTGGTCAACAATGTGGCTACTGGCTAGCTCTGTAGCTACAAACTGAGCATGATAATGCATTGCAAACCTCTTACAGGTGCAGTATAGAATAATCTGCAGAAAGTCTGAGGTGTCCATTACTGGCATCTTCCTTTAAACTTTGAACTTGTCAATGCAATAATATATATATATATATATATATATATATATATATATATATATATTGCTCTTCAATTACATATCAGCTGATTATAGTATGGCTTCTCCTATTACTGAAAAAGTAACACCCAAAAAGACACTGGAGAGCAAAAACTGCATCATCATCACCACCTCAGCACTGTTGACAGTGGCCTCACAGTTAGATGTGTGGTTGAGAAAACAGTGGTGTAGTCTGTATACACAAGACACATAACACTAATTGCAAAACAAAATGTCACTCACACACTTCTCATTTACAAGCCGTGCTCTCTATGCCCGTTTAGTTTAGCTTGACTGGGCCAGGGAGCCTTGGGAAATTAGGCTCCGGTTACAGTTTCCATGTACCTGCTACAGTCTGTGCACTCTGCTGCTTACTCTGCAGTAAAGCTGGGACGATAAACCAAACGTTATCGACACCGACCATAACGAACACTTATCGCAGGCATTTTGCTGATATCGTTCATTACGATAAGTTGCCTATACTAGAGAAATGTGAAGTTTTAAATTAAATACGTTTGCTAATATGGGTGATTGTTAAATGGGACAATTGATGGCTACAATCAAACAAACTAGTAGTAGTTTAAAGGGTAATAAAAAGAAAAACTGTTGTGCACATTGTTATAACATTATCGCATCAATTCAGGCAATTTATCTAGATTTTCGTCCATATCGCCCTGCTCTACAGTCTTGTCAGCAGGGGTTCCAAAACTTTTACACTGAGGCCCCCCTTCCAGCATTGGGGAACATCCCGCCCCCCTATGCACGCACACCACTATTTCTATGGGCACAAGCACTGTTCCTTACACAAACTGTTCACACCCATGTTGTTGGCAGCGAGAGAACATGTTGCAGGTTTAAAGCTTATTTCCTGCAATTTTATAAATTTTGCCATGGGATAGAGACTTTCTTTTGCCATTTTAAAGCTCATTTCATGCAATTCTACACATTTTGTCATTGGGTGCAGAGAAAATGTTGCAGTTTTGCCATGTCTTCTGTGTTCATGTGTTATTTGAGTGACAAACATTACAGCAACATCTATGGACTAAAAAACCTAGCAAAAAAATGTTTTGCCGGCATGGGCTAGTTGATCTGTACATTTCTGACAAGTTATAAATAGCCCCCTAGGTCTGCACTGGCTGACATGACAAGAGGCAAACTTCTGATGCACTACCCAATTTCGAAATTACACCTTGTGCATTCTACTATTACAACTTTCAGGAGTAAGTTCAAATAATAATAATAAATAAATGCCAACCCCTGTAAGTTAGACAGAAAGGCAAGCCTTTTTTCCATTTACATTGATTTCATTATTAAATATTTTGATATTACTTTAAGTTGCATGGATATGACAGGAGTACTTCTACATTAAAGAACCTCAAGTGAAAATATAAATATACAAAAACTCGAACCAACATCAAAGTTCATGTCGTCCTCTGTTTTTCAATTTGTTTCTGACAATCATTCTTTTGAATTGTGATATTACGTTAGCTAGCTAGCTAAATGGCATGAATTCCTAACGTTACCTTGACAGACATCAATGAGTAGATCGCTGAATGTCACTAGAAAATCAAAAATATACAGAAGGCTGTGCATGTTATACAAAGCGGGAAATTAACAAGTAGCTACCTATCATGCTTAGAAAACGTTCATAATTTGCATGAAGCCTTGTTAAGTTGCTAGCAGCACCGCTGACAACAGTGCAGCAGGATATGCATCCTTGCTTGCGCTATCTCAAGCAAAATGTGTCATTGAGTAAATACTTACATAGTTACAGTTCTTGAACAAAGCCAAGGTAACAAATCCCAAATATTTCAAGGGTAGAATTTTACTGGTAGGACTTCACAACCAACTCCGTTTTCATCTCGGTTTGGGACGACGTGGATTCAGCACACGCTTGTTTTTTGGTCACAACTATATCAGCCGCACTCACTGACAGTGGCAGCAATGAAGAGCGGGATAGTTGCGCACGCGCGTTACTATTGTTCAGTGCTAAAATGCAACACATATGCATTTGGCAAGCAAATTATGCCTTGGAGAATTGGACTAAGCATATGTGATTGTGTGAGAATGAATATGACTGAAAATAAGTAGTGGGTAACAGGCTGTCCAAATGATTGTTTAATTATGTTGTGCTTGTTTATTGTCCCAATATTTCACAGTTGGAATTATTCACAACCTTGAACCAGTCAATAAAACATAATAGTCCTACAGAAACTGCATGGCATTAACCAGTGTTACTTAAAAACAAAGAAAAGCAGTGCAAAATAAGACCAGGACATAATGTCAAACCTCAATGGTAGGAAAAGGTCAGGGGTGGATGTAATACATTTTACATTTTAGTCATTTTAGCTGACGCTCTTATCCAGAGCGACTTACAGTTAGTGAGTGCATACATTTTCATACTGGTCCCCCGTGGGAATCGAACCCACAACCCCTGGCGTTGCAAGCGCCATGCTCTACCAACTGACCTACACGACATGTTACATGCATAATTATACAGTTTGTTAAATAAGAACCATTAGTTTATAGTTTCAGCTGAGAATCTCTTGCACACCCATTTCACATACACTCTGTTTATGAGAATGAGTCACTGGCCTCATTCTGACAGCTGATAATTTAAGCCGTGTGTGCATCACCTCCAAACACACACACACACACACACACACACACACACACACACACACACACACACACACACACACACACACAGGCATTGGTGATGATGACGCTTAGCCTGCAATATCATCAAGAAACAAAGGATCAATAGTTTTCTCATTGCTTGTTCTCCAGTGTTGGATCATTCATACTCTGAAAGCCCATGACTGTGTGATTCACTGTGCTAGACGTTATGGTTTTCAGTTGTCATATTATAATAGTATCTTGTGTCATATGATAGTATTGTACTGTGCTATTGAATGGTCTCATTTCAGTGCTGTGAGATTGCTTGTGGTTCAGCTCCATCAGCAGAAGGCTTGGCTGGAGGGAGTATGACGTGTTCTCAGCCTGCGTCAGACAGCAGCAGGTGTACCTCAAGGTGAGAAGCCATTGCACCGCAGAACAAGATCAGCTAATATGCAGGGTTTTGACAATGCGTATATACTTAGCTACACAGGTAGTTGTGTCTCTGGTATTAACCAAGTCACATCACACCTTCATATCTACAGAATGTTGCATGTATACAATGATGTCCAAAAAATAATAACTCCCATGATTCAATCTTTCTATACTAAACACTGTAATTGTAGGAACCGTATACGACCATCTGAGTGTGCTGTAGGATAGTAGACAAGGAACAGCTATTTTCAACACTTACAAAAGGAGGTGAAAAAAAAGTCTGAAGTTTACATACACCTTAGCCAAGTACATTTAACCTCAGTTTTTCACAATTCCTGACATTTAATCCTAGTAAAAATTCACTGTCTTAGGTCAGTTAGGATCACCACTTTATTTTAAGAATGTGAAATGTCAGAATAATAGTAGAGAGAATGATTTATTTCATATTTTATTTTTCTTTCATCACATAACCAATGGGTCAGAAGTTTACATACACTCAATTAGTATTTGGTAGCATTGCCTTTAAATTGTTTAACTTGGGTCAAACGTTTCAGGTAGCCTTCCACAAGCTTCCCACAATAAGTTGGGTGAATTTTGGCCCATTCCTCCTGACAGAGCTGGTGTAACGGAGTCAGGTTTATAGGCCTCCTTGCTCGCACACGCTTTTTTAGTTCTGCCCACACATTTTCTATAGGATTGAGGTCAAGGCTTTGTGATGGCCACTCCAATACCTTGACTTTGTTGTCCTTAAGCCATTTTGCCACAACTTTAGAAGTATGCTTGGGGTCATTGTCCATTTGGAAGGCCTATTTGCGACCAAGCTTTAACTTCCTGCCTGATGTCTTGAGATGTTGCTTCAATATATCCACATAATTTTCCTTCCTCATGATGCCATCTATTTTGTGAAGTGCACCAGTCCCTCCTGCAGCAAAGTACCCCCACAGCATGATGCTGCCACCCCGTGCTTCACGGTTGGGATGGTGTTCTTCGTCTTGCAAGATCCCCCTTTTTCCTCCAAACATAACGATGGTCATTATGGCCAAACAGTTCTATTTTTGCTTCATCAGACCAGAGGACATTTCTCCAAAAAGTACGATCTTTGTGCCCATGTGCAGTTGCAAACCGTAGTCTGGCTTTTTTATGGTGGTTTTGGAGCAGTGGCTTCTCCCTTGCTCAGGTTATGTCAATATAGGACTCGTTTTACTGTGGATATAGATACTTTTGTACCCGTTTCATCCAGCATCTTCAAATCAAATCAAATCAAATTGTATTGGTCACATGCGCCGAATACAACAGGTGCAGACATTACAGTGAAATGCTTACTTACAGCCCTTAACCAACAGTGCATTTATTTTTAACGAAAAAAGTAAAAATAAAACAACAACAAAAAAAGTGTTGAGAAAAAAAGAGCAGAAGTAAAATAAAATAACAGTAGGGAGGCTATATATACAAGGGGGTACCGGTGCAGAGTCAATGTGCAGGGGCACCGGCTAGTTGAGATAGTTGAAGTAATATGTACATGTGGGTAGAGTTAAAGTGACTATGCATAAATAATTAACAGAGTAGCAGCAGCGTAAAAAGGATGGGGTGGGGGGGCAGTGCAAATAGTCTGGGTAGCCATGATTAGCTGTTCAGGAGTCTTATGGCTTGGGGGTAGAAGCTGTTGAGAAGTCTTTTGGACCTAGACTTGGCACTCCGGTACCGCTTGCCGTGCGGTAGCAGGGAGAACAGTCTATGACTAGGGTGGCTGGAGTCTTTGACAATTTTGAGGGCCTTCCTCTGACACCGCCTGGTATAGAGGTCCTGGATGGCAGGAAGCTTGGCCCCAGTGATGTACTGGGCCGTACGCACTACCCTCTGTAGTGCCTTGCGGTCGGAGGCCAAGCAGTTGCCATACCAGGCGGTGATGCAACCAGTCAGGATGCTCTCGATGGTGCAGCTGTAGAATTTTTTGAGGATCTGAGGACCCATGCCAAATCTTTTCAGTCTCCTGAGGGGAAATAGGCTTTGTCGTGCCCTCTTCACGACTGTCTTGGTGTGTTTGGACCATGATAGTTCGTTGGTGATGTGGACACCAAGGAACTTGAAGCTCTCAACCTGTTCCACTACAGCCCCGTCGATGAGAATGGGGGCGTGCTCAGTCCTCTTTTTTTTCCTGTAGTCCACAATCATCTCCTTTGTCTTGGTCACGTTGAGGGAGAGGTTGTTGTCCTGGCACCACACGGCCAGGTCTCTGACCTCCTCCCTATAGGCTGTCTCATCGTTGTCGGTGATCAGGCCTACCACTGTTGTGTCGTCGGCAAACTTAATGATGGTGTTGGAGTCGTGCCTGGCCATGCAGTCATGGGTGAACAGAGAGTACAGGAGGGGACTGAGCACGCACCCCTGAGGGGCCCCGGTGTTGAGGATCAGTGTGGCAGATGTGTTGTTACCTACCCTTACCTCCTGGGGGCGGCCCGTCAGGAAGTCCAGGATCCAGTTGCAGAGGGAGGTGTTTAGTCCCAGGATCCTTAGCTTAGTTATGAGCTTAGAGGGCACTATGGTGTTGAATGCTGAGCTGTAGTCAATGAATAGCATTCTCACGTAGGTGTTCCTCTTGTCCAGGTGGGAAAGGGCAGTGTGGAGTGCAATAGAGATTGCATCATCTGTGGATCTGTTGGGGCGGTATGCAAATTGGGTGGGTAGTATGTTGATGTGAGCCATGACCAGCCTTTCAAAGCACTTCATGGCTACAGACGTCAGTGCTACGGGTCGGTAGTCATTTAGGCAGGTTATCTTAGAGTCCTTGGGCACGGGGACTATGGTGGTCTGCTTGAAACATGTTGGTATTACAGACTCAGTCAGGGACATGTTGAAAATGTCAGTGAAGACACTTGCCAGTTGGTCAGCACATGCTCAGAGTACACGTCCTGGTAATCCGTCTGGCCCTGCAGCCTTGTGAATGTTGACCTGCTTAAAAGTCTTACTCACATCGGCTACGGAGAGCGTGATCACATAGTCATCCGGAACAGCTGGTGCTCTCATGCATGCTTCAGTGTTGCTTGCCTCGAAGCGAGCATAGAAGTGGTTTAGCTCGTCTGGTAGGCTTGTGTCACTGGGCAGCTCGCGGCTGTGCTTCCCTTTGTAGTCTGTAATAGTTTTCAAGCCCTGCCACATCCGACGAGCGTCAGAGCCAGTGTAGTACGATTCAATCTTAGCCCTGTATTGACTCTTTGCCTGTTTGATGGTTCGTCGGAGGGCATAGCGGGATTTCTTATAAGCGTCCGGGTTAGAGTCCCGTTCCTTGAAAGCGGCAGCTCTACCCTTTAGCTCAGTGCGGATGTTTCCTGTAATCCATGGCTTCTGGTTGGGGTATGTACGTACGGTCACTGTGGGGACGACATCATCGATGCACTTATTGATGAAGCCAGTGACTGATGTGGTGTACTCCTCAATGCTGTCTGAAGAATCCCGGAACATGTTCCAGTCTGTGCTAGCAAAACAGTCCTGTAGCTTAGCATCTGCGTCATCTGACCACTTTTTTATTAACTGAGTCACTGGTGCTTCCTGCTTTAGTTTTTGCTTATAAGCAGGAATCAGGATGATAGAGTTATGGTCAGATTTGCCAAATGGAGGGTGAGGGAGAGCTTTGTATGCGTCTCTGTGTGTGGAGTAAAGGTGGTCTAGAGTTTTTTTTCCTCTGGTTGCACATTTAACATGCTGGTAGAAATTAGGTAGAACGGATTTAAATTTCCCTGCATTAAAGTCCCCGGCCACTAGGAGCGCTGCATCTGGATGAGCGTTTTCCTGTTGATTTATGGCCTTGTACAACTCATTCAGTGCAATCTTAATGCCAGCATTGGTTTGTGGTGGTAAATAGACAGCTATGAAAAATATAGATGAAAACTCTCTTGGTAAATAGTGTGGTCTACAGCTTATCATAAGATACTCTACCTCAGGTGAGCAAAACCTCGAAACAAGGTCCTTTGCTGCTGTTCTGGGATTGATTTGCACTTTTCGCACCAAAGTACGTTCATCTCTAGGAGACAGAATGCGTCTCCTTCCTGAGCGGTATAACGGCTGCGTGGTCCCATGGTGTTTATACTTGCGTACTATTGTTTGTACAGATGAACGTGGTACCTTCAGGCATTTGGAAATGTGCTCCCAATGATGAACCAGACTTGTGGAGGTCTACAATTTCTTTTCTGAGGTCTTGGCTGATTTCTTTTGATTTTCCCATGATGTCAAGCAAATAGGCACTGAGTTTGAAGGTAGGCCTTGAAATACATCCACAGGTACACCTCCAATTGACTCAAATAATGTCAATTAGCCTATCAGAAGCTTCTAAAGCCATGACATCATTTTCTGGAATTTTCCGAGCTGTTTAAAGGCACAGTCAACTTAGTGTATGTAAACTTCTGGCCCACTGGAATTGTGATACAGTGAATTATAAGTGAAATAATCTGTCTGTAAACAAGTGTTAGAAAAATTACTTGTGTCATGCATAAACCGACTTGCCAAAACTATAGTTTGTTAACAAGAAATGTGTGGAGTGGTTGAAAAACGAGTTTTAATGACTCCAACCTAAGTTTATGTAAACGTCCGACTTCAACTGTAGATGTGCAATGTGTTTCATCTTATCCTGTAGAGTGTGATTTCACACACCAGCACAGTGTTTCTGCAGACACACCTGGCTGATTATGTCAGCTAAAACATTTTAGGTAGGTTTTTCAGCCCATAGACTTTGTTGTAATGTTTGAGTCACTCAAATATCACATGAATACACATTAGATATGGCACAATGTATAGAATTGCAAGAAGTGCCTTGATTACTTCTGGAAGTTTGTTTTGCACAAAGGCTATTTCGGTATTGTTCATTATTCAGCATCAACGTATTTTTATTCTATACTTAAGACATTGGTTAGAATCTAGGTTGTGCCTTTAGATTTTGAGAAAATTCACAAATAAAGGAAGAATCCCACTCGGCAAAATAATAGTTGAATCAACATTGTTTCCACTCAACAGGGGATTGCTGCTGGAGCGATGACAGGGCATCAACTGCATTGTGGGGGGTGGGGGTGCTACCAGGCCAGCGAGCACATTACATGTAACATTAAAAGCTGTAATATGTGATACAGAAGGAGGAAGCATGTTGATGTGGAAGGGAAGAGGGGATGTGAATGATATCACGGTTCCCAGTCAATTGAGGTCATCTCAATGTTTCGAATAAACTTGAGAATTTAAAACAGATTTCTATGTGAATTCAATATTTTTTCCCTGTTGACTATCTACAGGCCCTTGGGAGACGATTCAACTGGCTAATATAAAAAAATCTAATAAAATACACTCCTCCAAACATTCCCTTTTTCCTCCATGATTACTCTGAAGCAAGCTGGAGCAGTCATACAGATTCAACCCCAAGAGAGACAGACCCTGGCCCCAAAGCAGAGGAAAACCACATGAAGTCCTGAATTAGATCTGGGTATAAATATTTGATGAGCTGCTCCATGTTCACAACAACTCTGCTGCTTCATGGGCATTCAAGGTCAAGAGGAAGTGACTGCAGCTATAGGGAGGGAGGGAGAGAGGATGGATGGCTAACACACCTCACTGCTGTTCGGCTGACAATAATATTATAATAATATCATTATGGACACTTTTATCCAAAGCAAATTACAGTACTGGCAACATTGACAGTGACACATACAGTCATGGTCAAAAGTTTTGAGAATGACACAAGTATTGGTCTTCACAAAGTTTGCTGCTTCAGTGTTATGAGATATTTTTGTCAGATGTTACTATGGTATACTGAAGTATAATTAAAAGCATTCCATAAGTGTCAAAGGCTTTTATTGACAATTACATTAAGTTTATGCAAAGAGTCAATATTTGCAGTGTTGACCCTTCTTTTTCAAGACCTCTGCAATCCGCCCTGGCATGCTGTCAATTAACTTCTGGGCCACATCCTGACTGATGGCAGCCCATTCTTGCATAATCAATGCTTGGAGTTTGTCAGAATTTGTGGGGTTTTGTTTGTCCACCCGCCTCTTCAGGATCGACCACAAGTTCTCAATGGGATTAAGGTCTGGGGAGTTTCCTGGCCATGGACCCAAAATGTTGATGTTTTGTTCCCCGAGCCACTAAGTTATCACTTTTGCCTTATGGCAAGGTGCTCCATCATGCTGGAAAAGCCATTATTCGTCACCAAACTGTTCTTGGTGGTTGGGAAAAGTTGCTCTCGGAGGATGTGTTGGTACCATTATTTATTCATGGCTGTGTTCTTAGGCAAAATTGTGAGTGAGCCCACTTCCTTGGCTGAGAAGCCACTCCACACATGAATGGTCTCAGGATGCTTTACTGTTGGCATGACACAGGACTGATGGTAGCGCTCACCTTGTCTTCTCCAGACAAGCTTTTTTCCGGATGCCCCAAACAATCGGAAAGGGGATTCATCAGAGAAAATGACTTTACCCCAGTCCTCAGCAGTCCAATCCCTGTACCTTTTGCAGAATATCAGTCTGTCCCTGATGTTTTCCTGGAGAGAAGTGGCTTCCTCGCTGCCCTTCTTGACACCAGGCCATCCTCCAAAAGTCTTCGCCTCACTGTGCGTGCAGATGCACTCACACCTGCCTGCTGCCATTCCTGATCAAGCTCTGCACTGGTGGTGCCCCGATCCCGCAGCTGAATCAACTTTAGAAGATGGTTCTGGCGCTTGCTGGACTTTCTTGGGCGCCCTGAAGCCTTCTTCACAACAATTGAACCTCTCTCTTTGAGGTTCTTGATGATCCGATAAATGGTTGATTTAGGTGTAATCTTACTAGCAGTAATATCCTTGCCTGTGAAGCCCTTTTTGTGCAAAGCAATGATGACGGCACGTGTTTCCTTGCAGGTAACCATGGTTAACAGAGGAAGAACAATGATTTCAAGCACCACCCTCCTTTTAAAGCTTCCAGTCTGTTATTCTAACTCAATCAGCATGACAGAGTGATCTCCAGCCTTGTCCTCGTCAACACTCTCACCTGTGTCAACAACAACAAAAATCCTGGGGGGTTGAGACCTCTCATTGTTTGGATTTGAAAATTCAACAGTTGTATTGGAAGGGGGCGGCACTCAGGGACTGTGTTGTCCATGTGGGTGTTTGGTTCTCCTCTGTCTTTCTCACTCAATCAGAAAAAAAAGCACAGCCCCCTCATTATCTGTAAGTCGCTTTGGATAAAAGCGTCTGCTAAATGGCATATTATTATTATTATTATTATTATTATTATTATCCATGCATCGTGTCTACAACATAAAGGATCCTTTCCAGACTGTAATCAGGAAGACTTTGAGTTTGATGTCAGCCAGACTAACGGTGGGTAGCTACCCATCTGTTCCAAAAATAAGGCAGCAACACTTCAAAACACTAAAAAATTAGATAACAGCTTCTGATTGCTCTGTGTGAGTCTGAAATAGAACCCTATTACCATTTTAATGCACTGCATTTGACCAGGGCCCACACCCTATCCCTATGTGCACAAAAGTAGTGCACTACATAGGGAATAGGGTGCCATTTTAGATGCAGCCTGACTGCCTTTTAGAAGGAATTGAGGGGTCCATCTTTCTGCTGTTGAAGGGAATTAAAAGAGGACATCGGCCAGCTCAGACAAACCTTTTGTTTTCCTTTAAGATAGTTACACCTAGGCGGTTCCAAGCAGAATAATGAGTCAGGATCCATTTTAATAGCCCAGCCTGGGACAAAACATTGGGTGGATCCAGCAAGGAAATATCTACATTCTCAAAACCTCACTGGCCCAAGAAATAAATCATTTTCAGGGCTGAGAAGACAGGTACGTTCACCAGGGAATTACTGCAGAGAGGAAGGTGATAAATCACACCAATTAAAAAGAGCTACTGCCTATGATGTCTTCTCATGACCCATCAAATTATATGTCACTACAAATAAGACACTGATTAATTTAGGGAGATATGTTTAACTAGCTTTGATGGGTAAAGACATGAAAAGCACGTTGAATTATGATAGTGAAAAGGAGAAGATACATCTGCACCTTTACAGGGTAGTATTGACAAAATGTTTGCAATGGGCTCACAAAAAGATATCTAAGAAATGTTCCCATCCACATTCCCTTATTCACATGTATCTAGTCACAGAGCTTTAATATGACAAAGATGTAAACATTGCAGCTGTCGGAAAACAAGCACCATTGTTTCACATCATCTGGGGTCCCAGTGTCACTTAAAAAAACGTTGCATCCATCAGAAAGGGATAAAAAGACAAAGAGTTTAGAGAGTAAGAACATCAGGATTTAATCAATCCGCCAATGCATAATGCATAAAATCAGAACGTCATGTCAGCTCTACAATAAAAGGTCTGTGAGATTGCCTGTTGTCTTTATTATTTAAATATATATTCCATGGGTATATCATCTCTATGATCATATGTCTCTAACACCCTAGTAACTTGTGAAGGTCTAAAAATGATTTGATAGGTATAGTGTACATGGTGTGCAATGACACAGCTTTTATTTGTCTGAACATGTGAAACCCTAATAAATGAACAAGCTTACATCTCAAAAGGCAGATGGTAATGCAGTGATGGGCCCATTTTAATTTTAATACTCCAGATGTCCTCATAGACTTTGTGGTTATTTGCATTATAGAGACCTTGACAATGTCACCAGACATCACTTAATGTAACAGATGGGCAGATGTACTGTACAACAGCCCACATTCTGCCCCCATAACAACCATTGAACCTTGTAAAGTCAGCCTTATAAAGTTCAGCCATTTTAAAGTATTTTCCTCTCAAGCATTGGCTGTTTATTACTTCATGAACTACATATTGGATTTAGTAGATGGGCAATTGGCTTTGTTACAGTATGTCTTTATCTTTTGAGTATACATTTCTAATGTTTATTGTTTGGCTACAGTCTCCAAATTCATTTGACCTAAATCATAACACAAAATAACAGAGCCTTTATTAGATTTCTAGAGATAAAATTCTAGTGTCTGGTCTTTGTCCGCTTCAGTACAACATATTCTAAGAGTTGCTGCTGCCACCTAGTGGCTGGAAAAGAAACAGCATTAGTGATGTCACTCCAAAAAGAGAGCGTAACCATGTAGCAACATTTATTTTTTGTTGAAATGTCCCATTAAAGGGGTTTAAATCCCAGTACCAGTCCTGCCTATCTGAGGATGGGTTCAGCGGCGCTGCCCCTGGTTGGAGAGGGCCTGTGGGGGAAAAGCAGGCTCCCTCTGGGAGGTTCCCCCAGCGGAGGAGCCAGGCTCTCTGGAACAGAGGGTTTGGATGGGCTGGTCCTCTTCTGGGGTGGTGGGAGTTTCCTGACAAACAGAGAGGCTACAATCAACAAGACATTGACACAAATCGGACCAAATCTGATATATTAAACCAATGTTTACATTTTAAAAACCCACTTAACATAAAACATACTTCCGACCATTGAATTAATATAAAAAAATCACCCACTCTCTGTATCTACTGTAACTAATATATAAACTCAGCAAAAAAAGAAACGTCTTCTCACTGTCAACTGAGTTTATTTTCAGCTAACTTAACATGTGTAAATATTTGTATGAACATAACAAGATTCAACAACTGAGACATAAAATGAACAAGTTCCACAGACATGTGACTAACATAAATGGAATAATGTGTCCCTGAAAAAAGGGGGGGTCAAAATCAAAAGTAAAAGTCAGTATCTGGTGTGTGCCACCAGCTGCATTAAGTACTGCAGTGCATCTCCTCCTCATGGACTGCACCATATTTGCCAGTTCTTGCTGTGAGATGTTACCCCACTCTTCCACCAAGGCACCTGCAAGTTCCCAGACATTTCTGGGGGGAATGGCCCTGGCCCTCACCCTCCGATCAAACAGGTCCCAGGCGTGCTCAATGGGATTGAGATCCGGGCTCTTCGCTGGCCATGGCAGAACACTGACATTCCTGTCTTGCAGAAAATCATGCACAGAACGAGCAGTATGGCTGGTGGCATTGTCATGCTGGATGGTCATGTCAGGATGAGCCTGCAGGAAGGGTACCACATGAGGGAGGAGGATATCTTCCCTGTAACGCACAGCGTTGAGATTGCCTGCAATGACAACAAGCTCAGTCCGATGATGCTGTGACACACCGCTCCAGACCATGACGGACCCTCCACCTCCAAATTGATCCCGCTCCAGAGTGCAGGCCTCGGTGTAACGCTCATTCCTTTGACGATAAACGCGAATCCGACCATCACCCCTGGTGAGACAAAACCGCGACTTGTCAGTGAAGAGCACTTTTTGCCAGTCCTGTCTGGTCCAGCGACGGTGGGTTTGTGTTCATAGGCGACGTTGTTGCCAGTGATGTCTGGTGAGGACCTGCCTTACAACAGGCCTAAAAGCCCTCAGTCCAGCCTCTCTCAGCCTATTGCAGACAGTCTGAGCACTGATGGAGGGATTGTGCGTTCCTGGTGTAACTCAGGCAGTTGTTGTTGCCATCCTGTACCTGTCCCGCAGGGGTGATGTTCGGATGTACCGATCCTGTGCAGGTGTTGTTACACGTGGTCTGCCACTGCGAGGACGATCAGCTGTCCGTCCTGTCTCCCTGTAGCGCTGTCTTAGGCATCTCACAGTACGGACATTGCAATTTATTGCCCTGGCCACATCTGCAGTCCTCATGCCTCCTTGCAGCATGCCTAAGGCACGTTCACGCAGATGAGCAGGGACCCTGGGCATCTTTCTTTTGGTGTTTTTCATAGTCAGTAGAAAGGCCTCTTTAGTGTCCTAAGTTTTCATAACTGTGACCTTAATTGCCTTAATGGCCGTTAGTGTCTTAACGACCGTTCCACAGGTGCATGTTCATTAATTGTTTATGATTCATTGAACAAGCATGGGACACAGTGTTTAAACCCTTTACAATGAAGATCTGTGAAGTTATTTGGATTTTTACAAATGATCTTTGAAAGACAGGGTCCTGAAAAAGGGACGTTTCTTTTTTTGCTGAGTTTATTAATATATACACTGACGACATTTATTGCATTTACTAATCTAAGAGTATTTTTGGCAAGCATAAAATGCAGCTCAATCACCTGTGCAGTTGAAGGCAGGTGCTCTTGGAGAGGGGTACCATCTTGGACAGGATGTTGTTGTAGTTGTGTGTCCGTCGCGGTACGAGGCCCAGGTCTCCTGTCTTGAAGTGAGACAGGTGGGTGGTGTCCTTGAGAAGAGGACCAACAAGCCCTGATGATCTGGAGGAGGGTGTAGGAGGCAGGTATGCATGTCATTTGAGAAACATAGTGAGCTAGAGACATACACTATATATACAAAGGTATGTGGACACCCCTTCAAATTAGTGGATTCGGCTATTTCAGCCACACCTGTTGCTGACAGGTTTATAAAATCGAGCACACAGCCATGCAATCTCCATAGACAAACATTGACAGTAGAATGGCCTTACTGAAGAGCTCAGGGACTTTCAACATGGCACCATCATAGGATGCCACCTTTCCAACAAGTCAGTTCATCAAATTTCTGCCCTGCTAGAGCTGCCCCGGTCAACTGTAAGTGCTGTTATTGTGAAGTGGAAACGTCTAGGAGCAACAACGGCTCAGCTGTGAAGTGGTAGGCCACACAAGCTCACAGAACGGGACCGCCGAGTGCTGAAGCGCGTACTGCGTAAAAATCGTCTATCCTCGGTTGCAACACTCACTACCGAGTTCCCAACTGCCTCTGGAAGCAACATCAGCACAAGGACTGTTCGTTGGGAGCTTCATGAAATTGGTTTCCATGGCCGAAGCCTAAGATCACCATGCGCAATGCCAAGTGTCGGCTGGAGTGGTGTAAAGCTCGCCGCCATTGGACTCTGGAGCAGTGGAAACGCATTCTCTGGAGTGATGAATCACAATTCACCATCTGGCAGTCCGATGGACGAATCTCCGTTTGGCGGATGCCAGGAGGACGCTACCTACCTGAATGCAAACTGTATAGTTTGGTGGAGGAGGAGTAATGGTGGGACCAACTCCATATTAATACCCATGATTTTGTAATGAGATGTTGGACGATGATGGCCATGTAGTGTATCTTGAGCTTCTTGATAATCATGCCATATGGCAACAATGTACTAACTCTTGCAACATAAAAAAAAACCTGAACAGTAATTGTTATGGAATAATGATCTGCATAATCCACTATGTTGCTGTAGTTTTCTATATTGACAGCTTTCTTCAAGACTATGCTAATGTAACAGAGTAGACCTGCACAATGGCTACTAGTGTAGCCTCCTGTAGCTCAGTTGGTCGAGCATGGCGCTTGCAACCCCAGGGTTGTGGGTTCGATTCCCACGGGGGGGGGGGGCAGTATGAAATATGTATGCACTCACTAACTGTAAGTCGCTCTGGATAAGAGTGTCTGCTAAATGACTAAAATGTAAAAATGTAGTGCACATCTGCTACACTAGCATTAGATGAGAGGAGGGCAGTATGTGTGCATCCTCCAGTACCTTCCTGGGCCAGGGCCGGTCTTGAGCTCGTGGAGGGAGTCTCCCTCTGGGATGAAGTCCTTCATGGCAGGCCCTTTCCCCAGCAGAGCAGCACTGTCCAACACAGCCAACAGCTTCTGCATCATTTGGTTCCTCCGGACCAGAGTCTTCACCTCAGAGTCCTCCTCTTTAGGCACCTCCTGTTAGGATAGGCCAAGTAGTTACGTTAGTGCTACTAATCGCAAAGTGCCATTTCCAACTGGTGAGCACCTAACCACAAGTGTTTATTATCCATCTCAATGTGGGAAAAAATTTCCCAAGTGTTTATAACTAAAGTAACTAAATTCAAACTCATAACTACTATGTAATGACACAATAATTGCTTCAGGAAAATGTTTATAATACATAGAAGACTATCTACACGCTCTGGATAAGAGCGTCTGCTAAATGACGTAAATGTAAATGTAAATGTACACGCATGCAATGTTTACACCAGTGGAGGCTCCTCAGAGGAGGAAGGAGAGGACCATCCTCAGTGATTTTTTAAAAAGTATCCTTTTTAGATAAAACTATACTAAATATATTCACGTCACCAAATAATTGATTAAAACACACTGTTTTGCAATGAAGGTCTACAGTAGCCTCAGCAGCACTCTGTAGGGTAGCGCCATGGTGTAGCCGGGGGACAGGTAGTTTCCGTCCTCCTCTGGGTACATTGATTTCAGTACAAAACCTAGGAGGCTCGTGGTTCTCACCCCCTTCCATAGACTTATACAGTAATTATGACAACTTCCGGAGGATGTCCTCCAACCTATCAGAGCTCTTGCAGCATGAACTGACATGTTGTCCACCCAATCAAATGATCAGAGAATGAATATAGTACTGAAAGCATAAGCTACAGCTAGCTAGCACTGCAGTGCATAAAATGTGGTGAGTAGTTGACTCAAAGAGAGAGAAAGACAATAGTTGAACAGTTTTGAACAAATTAATTTCTTCAAAAATCAAGGAGCAGCAAGAGAGAGAGCTATATTTTGTATTTATTTTTTCACTTACACTTACTTAGCTAGCGAATGCTAGTTTAGCATACTCAAACACCTGGCTCAAACACCCGGCTCAAACAGAGAGGGATGCTATGTTACCTAGCTGGCTATGGCTATCCAACACTGGAATTCTTCTAAGTCAAGGTGAGCTTTTGGTTTTTATTCATTTATTGCCACCGGGGCCCGCCGGTGTAACTGCTAAACTGCTTGCTGACTGTACACTGTACTGCATGATTGTAGCAGGTTTACTAACGCGTTCGTTTTAGTAGCTATGTTGACTTGACTTTAGCTAATGTGGTGACAACGATGTAGGCTGTGTGTAGCGGTTAGCGGTTATGATATGAAGGTTTGGCTTGGAAAGGTTTTTTCTCCTGGTCACAGACAGCTGATGTGTTGTGCACTGAAGTCCACAAGCGAAGGGAAAAGGTGAGAGGAGGAGAGCACGTAGATGCGAGAAGGAATTGTCCAATGATCAAAGGGATCATGCTGTTTGTATGTGGCTGCTATGAAAGTCAACTGTGTTTGCGTGTGATCAGGGGTGTATTCATTCCGCCGATTCTGTTGAAAACCATTTCTTAAATGAAGCAAACAGAACGTGGATAAAAAATTACTGAATTTATCCAATAGAAACTCTTGTTTGCAACTGTTGAACTAATGATTACACCCTAGATCAGCTAGATGCAGGCAAGATTGTGCAAGGCGATATTGAATGTGTCAATGTCTGTCATCTTGACTACTCAAATTTTTCTCGACCTGTGCACCTACGTTGTAAACTTTCATTCATAGGCTAGGTTGTAGCAACCTCATGATGGTATAGGGAAATTTGAGAATCATGTAGTAGCCTAAGCCTATTGATGTTTCATTGAGCTGGGTGAATGGAATATGAATGACAGTCATCCAATATGCTGTAATAGAAATAAGGCCATGCTCATTAAAAAAATCCTCCCTCATCTTAAACGGCACCGACCGCCACTGGTTTACACTGCTATGATTTTGATTCCTAGCACTTGTTTACCTTGAGGGCCTGTTTAAGGGCAAAGGCAGCTGCCTGTAGGATGGTCTCCAGTTGTCCTCTCACGTCCCTCTCCTCCTCCAGCTCTCTCCCCAGCCTGTTTGCCTCAGCACAGTTCCTCCCTGACTCCTCCAACACCGAGGCCTGCACCTGCCTGTAGGAACAAACCAGAAGGTTGGCGTTAATTACTAATTCAGTTCTTCAATATATATTGGGTTAAAAACAATAGACAGGAATCAGACTTTTCAGGCAGTTCCATGCATGCATTTCCATTGAAATTCAATATATTTTGTGAGAATTAGTTTGACTGTTATTTGAATATATCGCTCACTCGTCGTTGGCATTTGAGGCATTCACGTCACAACAAACTGACTAGGGAAGCATCTGACATTTAAATGTCACAGTCACAGGCTGAATCAATTATTATTCCTTTGTCTAACATGAATAAGACATACTGTATCATTGCTACACATTAATGTCAGTTATCCAGGCAAAATACTAATTAAATAATGTACAGTGGGGGTGTATAGAGCCACAGTCCTGCTAGTTTTGGTTTCTCCAAGGCATTGATCAGTAAATTACACTGTCTGCTCAGAGAACAGTCACTGAATGACAAGGAACAAAACCAGCAGACACTGCGGTTTTCCAGGACCAGAACTGTGCACCCCTGATGTTTAGAACAGGAACTCTGGAGTATTTTTGAATTCTGAATGGAATCATCAGACCTTAGGGAATGTATCTCTGTCAGCAGTGCAACATGGTCCTTCTGCAGTTGTTGATGCTCCTCTTGAGCCTTAGCATACTCCTCCAGCTCAGCCTGCATCTGCTTACACTTCTCTGTGAGCTGATGGACCACCTGATGAAAAGAGAAGAGGAGCAGAGAGGAAGAGCAGGTTAACCAGTCAGCAATCAGATCAGGCTTCAGACAGGTCCTGTCATTATCATGTGGAGGTGTTGATACACCAAAATCATGCAAGCTGACAATCATGACAATCATCTCTCTCACCCCTTATCCTTCCCTCTCTCTCTCTCTCCCTCCCTCCCCAGTACCTTCTGGTTGCTGAGGCTCTTGCGGGTCATCTTGTTGAACAGGGGCTCCAGGACCTCCATCTCTCTGCGGATATGCTTCTCTCTATCCCTCAGGTCCTCGTTCTCCTCCAGCAGCTGCTTGCTCTTGTCCGACAGCTGGCTGAGCTGGGCCGTCACAGACACATTCTCGTGGATGGCCCTCATGGTCGTCTCTGGCATCTTCCTGTCCGACACGCGCCGAAACTCGGCTGCCACCGCCGCCACGTGCTGCTGCATCTCCTTCTTTAGTCTAGAGGGGAAAGGGAGGGAGGACAGCATGAGCAGGAGCTCATGAGCAGCAATGACCAGATCATACAGTGTACAAATTACTTCTTAACATATGGCATTGACCTGTCGTTGTCCAGCACGGCCTTCCTCTCCAGGCTGTAGATGACTGTGTGGTGCTCCTGTCTCTGCTTCCCAAGCTGCTCCTCCAGGCCCTCCAAGTGGGCCATCAGCTCCTCCTTCTGCACACGGAACTCCTCGAGAGCTGCTAGCTTACCCGCTGCATGGGGATGGAGATAGGAGTAATACAATTAAATGATCAAAGTTTGATCAGGTATTTTAGAGCTGGTTTTAAATAAAAGTCTGGTGGTGGATCATGTGGATGGGATGTTGTGGTGTCGAGGTTCTTAGTATCTTACCAAGGACCATGTTCTCTGAGGTGAGCTTGTCCTTGTTCTCCTGGAACTCTTGGCGAAGTTGACTGAGCTGCAGCTCAAAGGAGTCCTTTTCAGTATCCTTGGCCTGCTGCAGTCCCACCAGTCTCTCCAACAAGTCTCTGAGCTCATCCTCCTTCTGGGCCAACGAGCGCTTCAGGTAGAGCACTATGTCTTTCTTCTCCTTCTCAATGGTGAAATACTGAAAGGAGAAGTCCTTCTGTTGCACCTCCAACTCATCACATTTGTGCTGATATCTGCAAATATGAGTAAAGAAAATAAGATGACATCATGGAAACTTGATTGGAAGGCTACAAGCTTGGAATGAACATGATTTAGTTTCATATTATTATGGTGTATTTTGTTTTAACATTAATGTGCAGTATTTTATAAATGACACATATTTTGCATTAGGCCTAACTGATTCGTGTTTGATTGCCTATTTTACGCACTTCCACCGCAGTTTGCGATTCGTGACTTATTGCCTATTTTACGCACTTGCACCGCAGTTTGTTTAATGGCAATGGGTTCTATTTTGTCTTTATGTGGATATATTATAGCCAACTATTGTTCCAACAATAATCTGATAATGTCAGTGCATGTTTACTCGCAACATTATTTCTTATTCAGAGGATCAGAGATTAGCCTAAACATGAATACAAATAATCTGTGCACCCATTGAAAACTCTCACTTTTCCAATTGTTCCTCCAAGTCTCGTATCTGCGACCGGTATAAATCTTTTCCACCTTCAGACAATGCGTCGTCAAAACACGTTTTGTCTCCAAATCCAATGATCTCTTTTTTGGTTGATTTATCTCCGCTTTTCTTTCCATTCTTTTTTGGCATTTTTGCAGTGAAACTTTTCCCCCGATTGCCCTATCAAACAACTAAGCAACCACAACACACGTTGTTACCAAGAGAATGACGTCAGGTGCTGACCAGTTGAATTGGAATGTCAGTCTGCCCCGGTAACAAGACCATATTCTTTGAAAAATGGATGAACAAAAATATTAGGTCTGTTACAGATCTTTTAGATGACAGTGGTAATATCCTCAGCTATAATTATGTTATGATAAAATATGACTTTCTTTGTCGCCCTAAGCAATATTGTCCTTCTAGTTTTGTACTGCTGGTGAAAGGGATGTTATTATATTCAGATGTATCCTACCATCTTTATACATTGATGGCTGTTGTTTGCGGGATAAGAAGTGTAACAATAAACATGTCAGACAAGGTATTTCCAAAGAATTATTCCCAGAACAGTTAAAAAGTAATTATATCTGTCATATTTTTTGATGTAGCCTATCTGTAACCAAGAAAATAAGAACAAAATATTTGTCTTTCCCTATACCACCCAAGGCCAAAGAGAAAAATTCTAAATGATATTTATTTTTCAAATGAATTTTTAAGATTGAAATTCAATCTGTACATTTTGAAATGACTGTACATTATGTGGGAATGACATTGAAAATGAACATATTTTATTTTGCTGTGATCATATTACCACTTTCTGGGTGGAGTTACATGATTTATGTACAAGCTGGTATGATATGTATAATTGAATGTACATTATATAGTATAAAACCTCTGTGACGTTTGTAATTTATTTTATTATTATTTTGTTGGGTGCTTGGTTATGTACTTTGCTAAATACGCATTTTGAATGTATAATTCAACTTCAGTATTTGTTTGTACAATTTGAAAGTTAAAAATAAATAATAATGTCAGTCTGCCCCATAGAGAGAGATAGATCACCAGGAGTGATCAGCCAATGAAGTTGGAAGTCCCACCCAGTTGACTAAATTAAAATGGTGGAAGCCCTCAATGGCGCTGCCCATGCTAAAACTGCCTTTTGGCCACGAGAGACCTCTATCATTCTCTATGGTCTGCCCATAGAATTAGGAATTATAATACTAGAATGGACATTAACCTACTTAAGACAGTATAAAAGGTCAGCCATTTTAGTAAAGGAGTTGAGTTGGTCGACCATGGTTTGCCGGTGGAAAGATAATGTGTAAAACAATTAATTTTAAGATTATCTGCACTGTATGTTTGTTAGTTAGCTAGCCAGCCAGTTTTAGTGGAATGATTCCATGGGTTCCATGACGCCTAGGCAGAGAGCTCTGTAGCCTAAATATTGTAAATATTGTAGTTATTTTTAAGTGTTTAAATTGCATTTTTCAATCAACTTTTTTTGTTTTTGTTAACTTAATGCGGGTTGAACTTAATTATCTGGTGCTGACCCACGGAGTTGCAGACCTGATGATGGCAAGTCAGTTTATTTGGCTTTTGCATTTTTGTGCAACTGACTAAGTATCCCCTTTCCCTTTCTGCCTAGCAGCTTGTACACAATACTAAAATAACAAAATATGATATTTGAGGCAAGGGGCATTTCAATATCCTGTAGCCTATTCTCATTTTATGACTTAGCCTATATTCAGAACACTGTCCATAAATGCTCACAAAAATGCATAGACACGAATTGGCAAATCAGATTTCAAATAGCCTAATTACACCAGCAAAATTGGTAAGAAGTGAAATAAGTCTGGGGAATAACAGTAGTGCTCTTGCTGAGAAAATCACACTAGTCTATATTTTAGCCCATTGTAGGGGATGAGAATGGTTGTAATGACTTACATCAGCTATTGTGAAAGACCAACTAAATTAAACAGATAATAAAATCTCCTGAAGACAAGATGATATAGCCTAAATCTGCCCCTACACCCAACACAAATTTTCTTTCAATGTATTGTCCCCCAACTAAAATAAGTTACATATTTGGGTTCACAATCTGTTTGGGCAAAATAATGTTCATAATACAGTTAGACAAATCAGGTCACCCTACCAAAATTCCTGCTGAATGCTACCTTTTCGATGTTACAGCCTAATGAACCTAGTGCCTAATTGCCAATGACAAAACGAGGTGAACAATGTAGCCTATGGATCTGGACTCATGCAAGTGGTGGATTCAATCACTAGTAGTAGGCTACAGCTAGCTAGTTTGGTAGGGCCTTCAGTCATTGTAACCAAAGATGTAAATTCCCTTTTTATCTGTGTTGTGTAACGTTAACATTTCCTTTTGACAGCACATGACAATATAGCCTATACTGTCACATGCTGTCAAAAGTAAGCATTTTGCAACAGGAACAGGAGTGACATCAAATGAAGTTGTTGACAATTATGTGTACAAAACAGCGCTACAAGTTGCCGTGCTACTCTTTTGCCAATTGAGTTCATAAACTTTGTTCAGCGGAGAACGAACACGCCTGTCCAGTCTGCCGTGGCTGCCTGCTCCATTCTAATTGTTTCTTTACAAACGCGCATCCAATCACCTTGGTCCTGGACCCTACTAAACCAATCACAAGCTTCAATCTGCTGCGGTTCACAGTGTGGTGGCAGGAAAATGATGGATCTTCCGGGTGAAGCTGCCGCGGTTAGGCGACAATGCTCGTGATCACCCCCATTTTTATGCTCTTTACTTGTCAGTGTTCCAAATGGGACATTATTTGTCTTTTTACCTAAACATTTAAACACCATCAGATATAATTCATAGCAAGTAGTGCACTGGGGTAGTCAGATTTGATTAAATGTAACAGAACAGATTAACTGGAATGACATTCACTCTCATGGGATGGGTTGCCAAAAATAACTAACTGAAAGCCACACCCCCAATAAACCACGAATATGACTGCATTGAGGCATGTCACTGTGCTTCTATGGTTACAGTATATGGACCATACTACTGCCTATTTCATTTGTTCATTTACCAAACAAGACAGCTCATAATCCAGTGCCTTTATCACAGTCAACACACCTATATTTTAGCTTTAATTAGCTTTAAAATTGCTAAATTTCCTCTCAGCCTCATGGCACAATGTGTAGAATAGCATGAGATTAGCTATAAAACTGCACATAACAATTCATTTTTTTCTTCTTTTTGGGGGGAGCACACATATTTCTGCAGGCCCACCCACCAATGGATTTCTGGCTATGCCACTGGTTCAAAGCGACTTTGAGATTCTTGTTTGTAATGAAAAGCGCTATATAAAATAAATATACTATTACTATTCCATTATGCCAACATTCCATTCAAACAATGCAGTTAATCCACAGCCATACACTGGCTCAAATCATTTGATGATAGGACTTAGACAAGTTGTAAATGCAACAAGTGCTGATATTGTATCATGTAATAGACCTAACACTCACAGCTTTACTAGAATTCAAGAATTGAGATATTTATGTTTTGTTTACATATATTTTAGTGGCTATTTATACATACATTTCTTATAAAACCTGTATAAACTATATTTATCATTATATGACAATATTTTAGGTTGACAATAATTATATTACACAATTTCTGATACATCACATGCCTGACTTTTATTTTCCTGCATAAGTAAAAACAGGAAATGCATCATCTTTCCTGCCATTCAGTCATTCCAATTAGACTTGTTTGGATTTCTCCCTGACCATAATGGCTGTCATTTTCATCCATCCCATTCTGGAACTTTAATGGTTTAAGACATTGCAGCCCCTCTAGTAATTTAGGGTGCGTTCGTAAATTCAATCTGGAGTGCCAGAGTGCGCTCAGAGTGCCCTCTGGGCGTTCGTAAATTCATCAGCTATTCTGCGCTCTGGCACACTCAGACGAGAGTGCTCTGAAATCGGAGTAGATAGCCAGAGCGAATTTACGAACGCACCCTTAATAGGCTCTCTATGGCCTGCCCATTGAAATGGAATAGCAGACAGTTCAGCGAGCCTACTGGATTTACATACTATCAGTTTAACAAAAAGGTATTCACAATACATCCTGTTTACCTGATTAATCTATAAAACCTACTCTGATTATTGGAGTGCAGAGGTTTTCTTTCCTTTCATAAGCATATTGATAACATGAGCAGGGACTAAGTATATGGCAGGGACACAGTTCAAGCAGAATAGCCTTCTTTGGGAATGTATTACCGCAAGAATGCACACCAAACAGAAACTGCAAAAAAAAAAAAAAAAGTGGTTGTCCCACTGGCTATCATAAGTTGAATGCACCAATTTGTAAGTCGCTCTGGATAAGATGATGATGTAAATGTAAATGTAAATGCATATACAGTTGAAGTCGGAAGTTTACATACACTTAGGTTGGAGTCATTAAAACTCGTTTTTCAACCACTCCACAAATTTCTTGTTCACAATTCACAATTCCAGTGGGTCAGAAGTTTACTAAGCTTGCCTTAAGATACCAGAAATGAGTATGGCTTAGAGCTTCTGATGGCAATTGACATCATTTGATCATGAGTGTACTTGGATTTTCAAGGCTAAAACTCATGCCTCTTTGCTTGAAACAAACGAAATCGCCAAGATAAATAAAATAATGGTAGACCTCCACAAGTCTGGTTCATCCTTGGGAGCAAATTCCAAACGGCTGAAGGTACCACGTTCATCTGTACAAACAATAGTACGCAAGTATAAACACCATGGGACCACGCAGCCGTCATACCGCTCAGGAAGGAGCGTTCTGTCTCCTAGAGATTAACCTACTTTGGAGGAAAAAGGGGGTCTTGCAAGCCGAAGAACACCATCCCAACCTGTGAAGCACGGGGGTGGCAGCATCATGCTGTGGGGGTGCTTTGCTGCAGGAGGGACTGGTGCACTTCGCAAAATAGATGGCATCCTGAGGAAGGAAAATTATGTGGATATATTGAAGCATCATCTCAAGACATCAGTCAGGAAGTTAAAGCTTGGTCGCAAATGGGTCTTCCAAACGGACCCCAAGCATACTTCCAAAGTTGTGGCAAAATGGCTTAAGGACAACAAAGTCAAGGTATTGGAGTGGCCATCACAAAGCC